ATCTAAAACAGCAAAGTCAAAGCTGGTTGTCTGCATAGGGGATACAGTACATCTACGACAGCAACTGTGACACATATTAACTGTTTGAAATTACATGTTAACATAATTTGCCTGTGGACGATCTGGGTGCTTATCACAAGCTTCGGCGCTTAATATATCTACACGTGCAACAGTGTGCGCTTTGGAAAGGCTTTGACCTCCTTACCTTTAAAAAAAGAGTAAGATCACAGGGATTTGTCTCATTGGGCGCTGTGTTAAACGCATATAAATAGACAATAATGGTAAATGTGTATCTCATTTAGTATGTGATAGCATTTTATCTGAGACATTTTCAATAAATACAATAACTTGTAAGAGCCACCTGGTTTTATAGTGGACACATTTGTGCGTTGGACAAAATTACGCATGTATTGTTTATCTTTTTTGTTACGTTCAGATCTTTAGTATCTATTAGTTTGCTTTGCCTTTTATAAGAGAGTGGAAAATTCAGTTAATGAAAGCAAATGTAGTTTGATGTCTGATAGTTGAACGTAATTTGATTTGCACTTTCTTCTGTTCACAAGGGGATATTGGTGTGCAAAGACTTTTTTTTAATTCTAAACAGGTGATTCTTCCAGTCTCGAAAATATTATTGTAAGGTAACGTGTGGTTAATGTATAATTTGGAACATATGGTATTTTAAAATGCTATCCTTTTTTCTGGAGTGTTAAGATCTGTGTGGGTTTTGCTAATGATGCCCAATTAGTCATTAAACAGACCAAACGACGAGGCTTGTATAGATTTTCATTCGCTAATATTTGCTCTTCAAATATTTCCTTTGAAACGTTTACAACATATTTTATCTGTAGGCCAGACGAGAGACATCTGTGAAAGTTCTTCTGCTCCGTATTTTATAAATACAAACCTCAATTGGTCATCCACATTTACCATATCTAACTCTATTTGTTCATGACTGAAAAAAATATAATAAAACAGTATATAGGATGGATTTATGATTTATCAAATGCACTTTACCATATGGCAGGCGGGTTTGAAACAGTTTTTATGTTTGTTTTAAAAAACAGTACTCAGGCTTACGGGTTACACTTATGTTAAAAGTGAGGATGCTCAAGTCACGTGACTGGAGAAGGCCTTTCTGTGTGCAGTAGGTTCAAAACATTTAGGTAAAACATAATTTATAAACGGGATAGTATAAGATGAAGAAACCAGTAGGTAACATCTAAATCAAATTTCCTCTCATACAGGAGTTATTGTTTTTCATTGTGTTTTTGTAACCGGTATAGCACGGATGCTGTCCAGTTAGTTTTGGTGCTGAAATCTGCTTTCCATTCAAGAGCCAGTTTAAAGATCCTTCAATATCAATTTCCTTGCTTTGGGATTTGGCTTCACATAAGCAATAAGCTCATCTAGTTTATATAGTTTACATATCAGTAAAACAAAATGGTTTTGTATTGTACCCACTAAATACCTCGATGGGTGTGATTATATTTGTGATCAAAATTAGGGCCAATGAAGCATGGGAAAGTGTGCGTATTATATCTATTTGCGTTTCTGTATCTGCATGAAACTACATAGCACATTCAATTTTACACAACACGACACAAAGGTTTGATATTAGTCAAACGTGGGCATTCAAATATCTGGATATTTGAGAAAGGATTAATACTTAAACCGACATTTTAAAGAGACGTCAAGAGGTATGGAAAATATATTTTCGTATTTCCATTCTATGATGGTAGTCACTACTGTTTTAAGTACTGAAATAATAATATTAAAGCATCAATATTATTTTATTCGGTTATTTCTCTCTGAGGTTGAAATGAAGCTTATTTCTGTTTATCTTAATAAGTGGGGTACCTTAACATTATATTATGGTGGTTAATTTACGGTGTGAAGGCTAATATTAACTAATGGATCTTAATGAGAAAACATCAATGACATCAATGTTACGTTCATTCCGTTCTGTTTCTAAAACGTGAGTATGCATGGTTTTAACATTAGGTACCAAAATTAAAAATGAATAAGGGTAACTTTCAAAGAGATATCACGCGTTTGTTGCGTGTGGAATGCATATAGTTTGCGTGGATGTTATGTACTGTAGAAGGGGAGGGAATTGGTCACATAATTCTTTTTTACAATGGGCTGCAATATTCAAATTCCCCATCATTGATCATGACGTAATCCAGATAGGTCTGTATATATCAGTGCTATCATGTCTGAAGTCAGTCTATGCTGCAAAGCGAATGCAGAGTGATAAATCTGCGCAGGAGTTCAATCGATATTCGCAACATACTTTACTCTTACTCTACCCTGAAACTCAGCAGTACTAAAACGCTCAATTGATTATTTCTCAGGTAAGTGACCGGCAAAAGCAGTTTATAACGTATTGCCTACACCTAATCTTTGTCTTGTTTTTACAGCTTTAAGATGTCATTCTTGTGTTGTCATAAAATAGTCTTTTCAGAAGCAACTAATTAAATCGGAGAAAAGGCTTTCTCCGTAGGAGAAAAAAAAACTGAATAATTGTTTTTGAAGACAGAATGTTTTTAACTAAATCTTTGTGTATTTGTAAACTTCCTATACTGGTTTTCCAGTATTGTTATTGTTATTTAGGAGGAGAAAAGTACCGTATCTCTCCTAGATTCTATAATAAGAAAGTAGACTTTAATCGAACAATCAACAATTTCAACTTTCCAGATCAATACTTAAAAATCTGCTTAAATGAGTTGCTTTAAACGTCTGCTTTTGTGTACCTGTAATTATTTTTTTAAATTATTTTGAATAAAGGATCCATGAAGAATTTCAGAAGGAAGATGCTGTAATACAGGATGCAAATGGCAAATGAGGGTTAGTCAGATTCATTTACTGAAACTTACAATTGTGACATTTTATTCCATCCGTTCTCATTGTATTTATGTGTGGAGTGGGTGCAGTTATACATTAGTTATTATAAATAAGTAATTCAAATGACCAAATATAACATTTTTGTTCTGATTGGTTTGTTTTTATAAAAGAGAAATCAAGTAGCTTTTCCACATAAGTTTTAAGGTATAAACAAAGTTACTCCTCAAGAGAAGTTAAATGGATTTAATCCATCAAGACTTAACTATAATACATTAACCTTCTTCTACAGGTCTTAAGTTGACAATCATCAAAAGAGGCCTAGCAAGCCATCTGGAATATCAACCTGATTAATTGGATTTGGGAAGTCCTGAACTATAATGTATGATGTATTTTAATTGAAATCAAATCGATACTGAAGACTTCTTTCAATGAAACTTGATGCTCAATTTACAAGAAATTAGATCTACCTTCCTAGGCTCTAGCCTTCATTGTAAACATTGTAATGTTAAAATAGTAATCTTCTGATGCTACAACATGAAATACGACATACAGTACAGTACCATTCAAGGCAGACAACAAGTACTAAAACCGATAAACAGCAAATTGAAATTATAAAGTGAAAAGAGAAACACTAACCTTATCCATGGCTTAAAACTCCCATGGTGAAAACATGAAGGTGCCTGTGTTTTAGATATTGATTAAGCAAGGCAGTGCTGATGATAACAGGGTGGATAGGGCATAGGAATCCCAGGAGCAGTGTGAAAACGTGAGTTGAGATGGGGTCATCCTGGTACACTATGGTACACTACAGGTACAGTAGCTGGTTCTACCACAGAAGGACTAGAAAAGACAGAGAGCAACAGGAAAATAGGTAAAGTAACACTAAATGTTTAATAGTGCACATATCCATTCCATTAAAATCGCCAAACCATTCTGTAAATGCCTGTTATTCCCATAACACCCTAGAAATAAATATCCTCTTTATGCATGAGTGCAGGATGGAACAAAAGGCCAGGCTTGTGGATGTTGTAATGTTTGTCTGGATTCTCTCTGTGCTGTTGTACGCACCAGCACTTAAGCACTGGGGAAGAAATATTGTGAAAAAAGAGCTAAGGATCATTTAAAAATAATGCCCAATTTATAAAAATATTCCCAAACTTTCTCAGAAGAAAAAGCAAAGGACATTTTACCGAGTTGTTAATTTCTGTTTCTTAAAGTGATATAATAACTTTTTATACAGGTACATAAATAATGCCATTTGGCACGATTTATTTTCCGAATATGAGTACACTTTATCTGACTAATATGCATCAGCCAATTCAATGGGGTATAAAGTGGAGCTCCTTCTATTTGCAAAGTGTTTTAGGATCCTTGAGATAAAAATACTATAGAAATACCAGTGATTATAATTATTACAATGCCTCCTTTCTTCTAAAACAATGAATATTGACATAATATTTTAACTTTGGCCAGCAGCTATATCACCCTGCAGCTAAGTAGGGTTGAGCCTGGTCAGTACCTGGAAGGGCGACCACCTGGGAAGGTATGGTTGCTGCTGGAAGTGGTGTTAGTGGGACCAGCGGGGGTCGCCCACCCTGTGATCTGTGTGGGTCCTAACGCCCCAGTATAGTGGCGGGGACACTATACTGGGCGCTTTCTTTCGGATGAGACGTTAAACCGAAGTCCTGACTCTCATTGGCCATTTGAGATCTTGGGCATTTCTCAATAAGAGTAGGGAGTGTCCAGGCCAAATTTCCCCTTATCCTTTACCATGGCCTCCAAATTGTCCCCATATATGATTGGCTTGCACTTGCCCTGCGATGGACTGGTGTCCCGTCCAGGGTGTACTCTGCCTTGCACTCGTTGTTGCCCGGGAGACTCTGTGACACCGTATGGTATAAAGCGGTTTGGTAAATGACATGACATGGCATTTTAATCTTTGATTTGCATACACATCATCATTACCTGATTTTGAAACTGAATCTGCCATGTGGGATGCCAAATGTAATTTTTTTCTCAGTTTTGTACATGACATTGCTTAATTGTTATATATATATATTTTGTTTTAAGGAATTGTTTGTGTAAATCAACTTGGGGGGGTGTTTGTAAATGGACGACCCCTTCCCACGTGCACAAGAAAAAGAATAATTGAACTGGCATCGGGTGGAATGAGACCGTGTGAAATTTCCAGGATTTTACAGGTACTTAAAATAACTGGTTTTTATGTTAAACATGACTTTATATATTGCATTATATATATATAGTCTATCTCCTGTGATTCTGAAAAGGTAATAAGTGCGAAGTAACAAGCATGTGTAGCATTGTGTAAGTAGTCTTACTGTATGCAAGGCAATACTGTACTGGGGTATTGTGTGAAAAAACTCAACAAACCCTGCTTAAGGGATCCCAGACCATTTTGGGTAGAGTCACTGTAGCCTCCAAAACAAGTCTGATTACTCAGATGCTTTGAAAAAAATGGTTTAGCGTAGCCCATGCGTGCTTCTGATTGAGATAGGGTGCCATCTTCTTCAGAAAGAGAGAAAAATCAGCATAGAAAGAAAGGCTGTTCATTTTGAACACTTGATATGCAAGGGAGAAGTCATCGTTAATTGACAGCTCTCCACTCCATGTCAGAATTGTTTTTTCAGCATTAAGGTGATTCAAAGTACATGTTTTGGATGCTGTTGCACACATAAACAGAACCATGCCTGTGTTGCCTATTGAGGCTCAAACTCACACTGTGCTTTCTTTGCACCATTTTGCTCTACTTTTTTATTTTTTCTGTTTTTTATCCATAGACACTCACAGATATTCTGCTGTATGTGCAACCGATTATCAGAGTCAGATGGACTTGTATTTTTACGAGACAGTATTCAATCTGTTAAATGTGGCCATTTAGGATACACCAAAGCAGTTGTGCTTTTATATTGTTCTAAAAAGATCACTTTGATCATGACCTGCTCAGTGCGCTTTTTAACGTTTCTATCAAAATCTCCTTATCCGTTTGCTAGTCCCATTTCAACTCAGTCATTATGAACCCCTTGGTCAAAGGGGTTATTTGATCTCCAGTTCAAAGAATAATTGCACATGTTCTGCCGTGTTTCTATCTGTCATATTCATAATAATTGCACATGTTCTGTCATGTTTATATCTTGTGATCGGAATGGCTATTTTTCTTTGTTGAGCCTCTGTATGTGTATATGTAGTACCATTTAAAAGCTATAAAGGCCATGTACAAGAAAATGGGGGTGAGGGTGATTAGTTACCATTCTTCTTCACTATAATCTCTGGGAGATACTCATATGATGGCTCAGCATGTTCTCCATTTATAAGGATAGCAGTACATCTGGAAATGTATGTCTGTTTCCTGAAACAATCAGTTTCAGCTTCTCTCGTATGAAGTATGGATTATATTCCCTGAAGAATGGTTACTTCCTGGTTCTGATTAACAGATGTTATCAGTGTCTCTTGTTCACTCTGATCCCTGAATTTCTAATACGGCATCATCCCATTCATTTGACAATTTATTGTCCATCGATCGATTTTCTAATCGCTTCATCCAGTTCAGGGTCGTGAGGGAGATGCCCATCCCGTCAAGCAAGTGGTGCAAGGTGGGATACACCCTGAACAGGATGCCAGTGGCACACACAGACAGAGACACAGACACACACTCACACCAATTCTCCCACAAGCCAATTAACCTACCAGTATATGTGCATTGTCGGAGGAAACTGGAGCATCTGGAGAAAATCCAGAGAAAACTTAAAAATGTATTTAAGACCTCTCTGACAAAGCTTCCTGTGAGACAGAAAAACACACTCTATACAATCTTTCTCATAAAATAAATATCTAGTAGACAGCCACATGTACAATGTGCATGTGTCTGTGCAGCACATTATGAGAGGACACCAAACATATTAGGAGATTACTGTAAAGAAGAATGATCAATATTTTTCTCTCCCTTCATCTCTCGAAATACAGTGTTTCCAAACTTTTTAACAAAGCTGTATGTCTACATTATTTCCAGGAAAACTAGAGAGCAAAAAAGAAAGTGCTTTCACAAAGTGTGAGATGTTTTTACTTTGTATTTTGGAAACCTTCCAGGGTTTCTTTGTTACACAAAAATGTTTTCCATAAGAAAATAATTCTAAACCGACAAGAAATTAAAAACATCACAGTAAGCAACAGCAAAGCCATATATGCTGTGACTGACATAAAAAACAGATAATTGAAAATAAAGAAGTGGATAGTTCAGTACATGCTTAGTCAGGTGAATAATTAATGTGCTAATAAAGGAAAGGAAACCAGTCATTCCTGTACAATAGTAGGCAGCATGCCAGGATACAAATCCAAGATGTGTAAACAATTATATTTCTTGAACATGGAATAACACAAATGACAATTCACTCCTTTTGAAGCAGCATTTGAAAAACTCCTTTTTCATAGAGAAGCCTCAACAACTGAATGCTGTGTTTTTATTTCTGCTTCACAGCATGGCATTGACCTGCACTTGTGCTTTTTCAGCGTGCACATTGACGCAAATCCCATCAAGCAGTAATGACACATATAGGAAGAGAAGCATCCAGCCAGTGGAACACATTACACTGCTGTCCCCTCACTCTGAATGTTGCGATTGCTCGTTGTAAAAAACAAAGTGTAAAAAACAAAACCTGGCATTCAAATGAGATCTGGTATTTGCCTGCGGGTGATTTCCCATCAGCTGTAATTGTTTTCATGTGGCTGCGATGTGAAATGTTATGCTTTGTATCCCACATGGAGTGATACACCTAAGAAGCTAAGACGTTTTACAAGTGGGAGGAAGCCATTCAGTGCATCAAGCCTGTTTGGTAGTTAGTAGCTCATTGACACAAGAGTCTCATTTAGCCATTACTTGAAAGAAATCAGGGTATTGACTTCAACATCATGGCTGGGTAGCTTGTTCCATGCACCCACATTGTGTTCCCATATACAGTATGGGATATATATGTATATTATATATAGTATAAATGCTGCTTCATATTATATTGAAATTTTAACGTAGTGGAATGTTTAATTTTTCCAGGTATCAAATGGCTGCGTCAGTAAGATATTGTACAGATACCAGCAGACTGGTCTTTTGTGCCCAAAAACAATCGGAGGGAGCAAGCCTCGTCTCCTTACACCTGAAGTGATTGGTAAAATCATCCAGTATAAATGGGAAAACCCATCGCTTTTTGCCTGGGAAATTCAGGGGAAGCTTTTGGCAGCAAGGGTCTGTAAACCAGACAAAATCCCAAGTGTAGGTGAATTACAAAATTACATAACACATATCCTAACTTTTTAACAATTAAAAAAAAAGTAATGCTGAGTGTTGCAGCATTTTAACAAGAGAAAAGAAAAGGGAATATATAATTTTCTTTCTATGTAGGTTTTAGTGTAGATTGAACTACAGTCCATGAATAAATGGCTGAAAATGGAAGTCTTAAATTGTACACAAAATTTAAATAATGGCATGCTGTATTGGACAAAAATACTCAGCTGTTTAAACGTTGAGATTTTTGTCCATATTTGTCCAGAAACAAATGACTGGTCAATCTATCTATCTAAAGAAAAGTTAAAAGAGTGTTCAATAATGATATTAACTTTTGAAATGACAAAATACCTATAATGTGTGCTCAAAGCACATTTTACATTATTGAAAAATACTAGTCAATAATACAGAAAGACATGCCTTAAGGCTGCTTGTAAATGAGAGAGTTCCTTGTGTGTGGAACATTTATTTTGCAGAAAACACAAAACTCTTCTTTTGAATAAACAATGCCAATGGCATTCTTTTCTTTCAAACCTAGGTTTCCTCTGTAAATCGGATTTTAAGGAATATACAGCTGGACCCAGGTCATCTGCAGTTTGAGGAATCTGTGCCATACCAATGGAGCTCAGGTCAGAATTTAATGTGTCTAAATAAAGGAAACTATTAGATGATGTATCAAAGTGTTATGTACTTTGTAATATTGTAGATATTTTAATGCCCCCCAAGTATATATTCATAGTTCCATTACTTGTTTTTCTGCAGTTCTTCTAAGTGCTTTAGTGCCCTAGTGTAATTTAACATCTTATTAAATATCTTTCTTTATTTTTGTATTATAGAAACAATCAAAAAGAAAGCAACAGATGGAATGAATGCTGTAAGGGGAAATGACTGTGATTTGCAGAAGATCTTGGTCAAAAGCAGTCAGCACCGGAACAGGACAGTTTTCACTCAAGAGCAATCGGTGGCTTTAGAGCAAGGTACGCTGCATGGCAGGTGTGGGCAATCCCAGCTCTTGATTACTGCGAGTGCTGGGCTCCTGTGGGTTTTAGAAGTACTTTCCCGACAGGAAACACATTAACATCTAAGAAAACAGGTGATTTTGCTACTTACTGTACACATAGTTCAATTAAACTATTTAGTCTTAAAGCAGAAAGTAAAAGCTAAAAGGACTTCAAACCCTTTCAAATGGATTCCTCTTGCCTACTTCATGATTACTTGCCTATTTGTACCTTAGAAATAAAGAGAAAGTCAGCTAAAAGTAGCCATCCTTCTTGAAAACAGGAAAAATAGCACCTAGAGATAACAGTAGAGTTGACAGCACTTGTACTCTACTTTGTTCTTGAGAGCAATTTCTGAATATCACACAGAATCCCAAGAAAACTCCTCTCTGTCATTCTACCTGAAAACTGAGATTCATTATCATCCTCATCATGTACTTGCCTGGGAGGAAATATGATCCTGGGATTAACCTTCCTGAACAAAGAGAAAAAAGAATGAAAAATCCTTGTAAGGACTCTCATGATAGACATATGACAATCTGATGAGTCGTGGTACTTGTGGAGAAATCACCTGATTTGAAATGCTCTGTGTTGTGGGGTGTGCCTGCTGTCTTTACCAATAGGGTATGTTATATGTCAAGAAAACCTGATGAGTCTTGGGATTGGAAATGTCCATAAGAAACCATGCAACATTGAATAAAGTTTTGGGATTTTGAGTAAATGACTAATCTAAAGCAAAGTTCTTGTCAATAGAATGTGATTGTTATGGTCAGGAGATATTGGTAGCAACTAGATACTGTGTTCAGTTCAAATTATGAAGATAAAGCCATAGAAAGCTGAAAACCTAACAATACAAGACGTTTTGAAACACAACGTTGGATCATTACGTTTGTATGAGTTTATTATGTATATGTACAACCTCACCACCAGCTCCAGCATCATCCTTCTTCTTCTGAAACAGGAAACTATAGATCACTTTTATGTCTCTTACAAGTAAAGCTTTGGCACTGTATGTTAAATCTATATGTATCAGATGTACAGTATATTAGACTCCCTGTATACATTATGGGAGGAAAATGTTTTCAGTCTAGAACAACAGAGATTGAAAGAAAATAAAAAATTGGTTAAAGTATACAAAATCCTTAAGGGCAGAGATAGGGAGAACCCAGGGAACTATTTCACACTCAAAATCAAAAGGATAAAGGATCACCGAACTAAAAGAGAACTGGAAACTAAAAGCAAATTCAATTAGGATGGAGAAGAACTTCATGAATGCTTCTTTACACAAGGAATTGAGGATGTCTTGCACAGGCATCCTAGCCAAGTGGTTGGTCCCAAACTCTGAGAGACAGTGGGATGAAATTGTACTTTCTCTTAGCTATTGTACTAAAATTAGGCATCCTCTTATTTGTATCATCTTATATCCTTGTATGTTCTTATACAGTCTGTTCCTATATGCAGGTGAGGATGTGGAGTGCCCAACTAAACAAATATCAGAATCCACAAATATAGCTTTTTAAAATGTTTGCTCTTCCCTCTTGTTGTTTTTGTTCTGGATACAGAATTCATAAAGACTCAGTATCCAGATATCTTCACTCGAGAGAAATTAGCTGCAGAAATCAACCTTCCTGAAGGAACAATAAGGGTAAAGAATCTATATTTTGCAAGCTATTGTAGGTAAAAGTTTGCACTTTACTGTGATGTAAAGCTCCTTTTTTGTTGTAACCAACTTTAATATTCCCAGTGCATCCATTACAGTTTTTTTTTTGTTACACTAAGGCACAGTTCACACAATTTATTTTTATTCCACAGTCATGTTGGACAATAGTAAGATAAGACTTGATAGAATATATTTTTGGCTTGTAAAGGCGTTTAAGAGGTGCTGTACGTAAGTGCTCGGATTTTGAATTGTCTTGATGTTAATCTAAGTTTCCTCCCAAAGGTCTGGTTTTCAAATAGAAGAGCAAAATGGAGGCGAGAGGAAAAGTTGAAATGCGGAATCTATCGTACGGAGAGTGAGTTGTGTTGTTCTGTGTACGCGCTTTTCAGAACAAAAATAAAACTCAGTTTGATTCTGATGGATGTTAGCTGTAAGAAAGTGTTGCTCTAGTTGCTGTCTGACATGTCATGGGATGGAACACAATCTCATTTTAAATGACCCTAGGTCTTTGCTTCAGTTGAAAAAGCAAGGCCCTGCTGTGGTCATCAAGACATGATTTTGAATTAAACATTTGGTTTGAATCCAAAATGTAAAGACCAAAACTATTTAGTTCATTCAGCAATGTTAATGCAGAATCCAAATGAGTTAAATCAGCTCAATGGCCTCTTTCTGTCTTTGACATTATGTTCATTATGTAATAATTGAGTTTTTGAAGAAATAGTGTCTATTAAAACATACAATTTTCAACAGTTTTGAAAAAATATATAATTAAGCTACATGTATCTTTCTTAGAATTCTTAGCATAAGTAATTGTCTAAATAATTCTTTTACTTTTTCCACAGATAGCCTATGCACAGGAAATCCAAACTTCTTAAGAACAACAGCACAAGAGTTTGCAGCATTGCATTCAACTAAGACTGACAGACATATTCTACAGGTGCTGTATGCTAAAATGGTATTGCAAATATCCTTTACATTAAGTCTAATACAAATAGTTCTTTTCCACATGTCATTTTGTAGGAGAGCATGTAGTCACATTTCAAACCAATCTACAGAGGGTCTAGAAATACTGACACTTCGCTTTCCTTCCTGCATAAGACACACAGCTGTGAGGACTCTGGGCTGTTAGGTGGAAGGTTTAAATCCCAAGTGTGGAGCTGCTTTTCTATCTGGGTAGAATGGTATCTCAGGATGCTTAATGGGTGCATAAAGTAACTTGCTTTGTATAAAAGCAACAGTTCAGTAAATTAATATTAAAATACACTATTTCCTCACTTTACTGGATTTATAGGAAGAAAGGGTTATCTGGTATATGAAAATTGTATATACTGTATATTTGCTTACTGAATATATACTGTATGTATATGTATGTGCTGTATATAAAAATGATATAGTGTTGTGTATTACATTGTATTATATAAAATAAATACAGTATGGAAAATAACATACTGTATTTAACAATATACTTGTACTGTGTACATTCACAATTTCATAAAGCGCACACTCTAAATACTTTACTGTACTGCAGTGTTATTCATGCTCCTTAGCAAAATCAAAATTATTTTGATACTCAAATAAAGATATTGTTAATTGCAATTAATATTTGTCTATTATATCTGCAGTCCATTAAAGTGAAATCTGTTCAAGCAAGGATATATTGCATATGTATTAAATACCAGTTGAGTATTTTAAAATATGATACTAGTACTGCACAATAATTTATCTTTTATGTTTTCTAGGATTCATACATATTTTCAGTATGTGTCACAGAAAGGTGGCAAGCATTGTTACCTCACAGCTATGATTTAAGACTCAGGACTCAGGTGTTCATGTAGGCTTGCACTGAGTTCTTTGGTGTGGGTTAGCCACTCTGAAATGTACCTTTCTCTGGGTCCTTTTGAGTTGCTTTGAGCGGCAGAGGTTTGTGTTCTCATTACCCTCTTGCGCACTCTACTGGTATGAATTACTCAGACATGCTCTGATAATCGCATGGACCGGCTGAGATAGACTCAAACTTGCTCTGACACTCAGAGTGTTCAGCAGTTTTCAGATAATGAATGGATGGATTTATGCAAAGAAATATTTGCATTGCTTCAAATATCCAGTAGGTGGTGTGTGTTTTCCAGTAAGTATCCTGTTGTTAACTACCGTATTGTTCGTAACAAAGATATACTGGTGAATTTTAGAAGTATTGAGATTTTACATTTACTTTGGTGAACAACTTTATCAGATGTACATCACACTGGACAATTCTTTTTTCTGTCAAATTTGCTATTTAAAATGTAAAATTAATAGACTGTGATTTTTTTTCTCACATTAGGACCCCAGTATAAATGCATCGATGCTAAGTCGAGCTCAGGAGTACAACCCAAATAGTGCTGCAAATGCTTATGAAAATATCAGTTCTCTTTTGATGGCTGAAAATTTTAATCAAGGTAAGACTGCAATTGTTTTAGTTCGGGTCTCATATCATTTGGAAATTTTATTTTTATGTATTAAATAATGATTATGTTCCTATTATCATAGAAATAAACAAATTCACTCAAAACCATGTGGGATAACTGCTCACAGGCAAGAATGGAAGAAAATGTAAAAGGTATTTTCTACAGATTATGTGGCCTTTATTTCAGGTGTGTTGCACAGCACTGCAGGAAGTGGTTCATCGTTTTCTGGCTCACAGTGGCCTCTGCTGTCATACTCCACTGCAGACAGAGGATCAGTACCAGTCCTTCCTGGGCCATATGCACCATTGCTTTTTCCTAATTCATAACGTCAAAACCTCCTACAGCAAAATATGAAAGATAAAATCAGCAATCCATACCACAGGTAACAATAACCATGTTCACAAAAGAAAGTTGTATCAAGTGTTATCAAATAAATTCTAAGTGCCTTTAATGCCAAGTGCTGTGTAAAGGAATGCATTAACTACGCCACTTCTCAATATGCCCTAAAGGTCCTGGTGTTGTATGGTCTTTTCAGTCACTGTATGCTCAGACTGTGTGAGAACTCTGATAACAGTTGTTTCTGTTATTCACCTTATGTCAAGGTAAAAGGAGAAAATGCAACACAATAGCTCTATTTAACACAGATCAGAGGGTTTAAACTTATATTCTATTTTACGTTACACCTTTACAGCATATACAAAATATACTTACATACCTACCTGGGGAACCATGTACCAATCTTTAGTTGGTACCAATCTTTTAATTGGTAATCTTTAGTTACCAATCTTTAATCTGTAGTTTAGTTGTCACCCTTTAGTTGTAAAATTCCATATACAGTAAATATTCAATACTAAATGGATTAAAACATGCACAGTAAAGAGATTAAATGATTAAATCTTTTCACTCACGACCAATGCACCACGAGTGCCCCTGTCGGTCTTTTTGGCCAGCCAATCACATACCGCAGTACAACGCAGTGACCTGTGGGTAATTGCGTGCGGTACGGGTTTGTACCGTGCATTTTGAAATGCTGCATCTGTATATGCAAGCAGTGATGCCCTACTATTGTATTTGTGAAGAATGAAGAGCACAATACAAGTGGCTGTGGAGGAATCAGAAGCCTTCCTACAGAATAATAGAACTCATTTTACACAGCCCAGCAGATTACTGTTTAGCAGATAGCACTTCTACTGAACTACAAACCTAATTGCAATATCTTCAGATTCATATTCTTTCTTTTACAAGTTTGAGTGAGTTCCCTTTTGTTCCTAATTTCATCATTGCCTTGTATTTTTATACTTCTTTTTAATCCATGAATATCACAGCACAAGGGTGGGGCACTTTTAATTTAGTATCCTGGCCAAATATGAATATTTCCTGAAAATTCTGGGCCTTATAATGCACTCTTCAATTTATCGTATTACAAACATCATAACCCAGATGTGTTTCTTGGTGAAAGCTAAAAAAAAGCTAACAGGCTAAAAGCTTTCATTCAAGCTTTCATTTTGTTCATTTTTAAATATTTTAAACTTAGCTTTTGAAAATGATTTAACATATCAATAGTGCAAAGCATTATGAAGATGTTCCATTATATATGTTATTATAAGTATAATGTTTGTATACCATAGCTTTGCAGGCTTGCTTTTTTATAATTTGTTGTTTAGAGACATAACATGTGGCAGAGTGGTGAACATCAGGTTTGCTACGAACCATGAGGCTGAGCCTGAGCAAACATTCTTGATTGAGTTCATGGGTCTGTACTCTGCAAATACAGCATATTCTGTCCCAGAAATGTCATTAAATGTTTTGCCACAGTTTTCTTTTTTGGGGTTGATGTCCTTTGTATAGCAAGATCATTAAAGCATCATGATATTATCACGCTGTATTTTATGTGTATATACAGTGTCCAGGATTCATTGCTCAATATGAGCTCTATTTGCCCCAGTTTTAATTTGAGATGCCTGTCAGTAGAGGGCAGCAAAACCCTTTACATATACAATATGTGACAGGTGATACATTGTGTTGCATAAGGGGGGTTCATATGATTTCTAATACTCAAATGTTAAAGCTTTTATAATATTGCATTTTCAACAGACAAAGCAAATCCTTTTTCTTCTACACCTTAATGCATTCATTCTGACATGTTGCACATTGTCTGATGGGTTTTAGATCTAGAGACTATATAGTGCTACTCTGAGAAGAGTGTCATCACCTCTGAGTGTCATGGGGATGGATCTGTTTGGATTTATGACTGTTTTGCTCCCTACAGTCCTGGCATGCCTGTTCACTAGGAAATATATGTCAAAACAAAATAAGTGGTGATTTCTGTCAAGGTGCTCAAGCTTGGCTGCAAAATGAGCTGTCCAGATGGACATTGAATGATCTGATACACAAATTAAATTCTAAAACCAAAATGTTAAGCGAGCATATAACTTGTGATTGGCAGTTGCAGTCTCCAACAGAATGTTTAAAAAATGAACTGAAGAGAGCAGATCACAACCTCTGCCTGTCAGCCTAGAGGAGCTGGATATGATCTACATGGAGAAGGAGTCACAATAACATTCTGCTCTTTTAAAGTGCTTGTACATTTTACATTTGATGTAAGAGAGGTGAAGAGTGTGTTGAGAAAACCTATGCCCCCTGTAAATTATCGTGAGGGGGTCTGTTATGTTTTGCATCTATGGAGCCCCTGATAAAGGGGAATGAACAACACGTACCAGGGCATTTTGGCCAAACACTTCATTCCCCCTGTCAAGCTTGGCTGAAAACAGACTCCATCATGACATCCAAAGCATACTGTACATCTGGATCAACAAAGAAGTGATTAACTGCGCACGAAAGAAATGTTCTCAACTGGCATCTCCAGACCTCAATCCAATTAAACAGCTATGGTTCAAACTTGAGAAACAGTTCACCAGTGGAAACTACAGGGCCTGAATGACATAGAATACAGTATTTATGCCTGGAGGAATGGTCAAAAATCCCCACACGAAAATACCAGAACGTCATAAAAAGCTGCACTAAACTTATTGACAGTGTAATCCATGCCAGAGGAATATTAACAAAATACTATCTGCAGGGATGTGAATACATGTGATCCTTGTACTTTCTGGATTTCATTTTTTTAATGAGAAATATGTCTATGTTCGGTGCGATGCTATTAAGATTACAGTTTAATGTCTTTATAATTTTTTAAAGAGGGCACATTATCCAATCCATAAATCTATGTTATGTGTTTTGCTCCTATTTCATCTAGGTTATGAATAATTCACCAGTTAAAGAGCTATATAGCTCCCAATTGACTGCTTAAACATTGAAAATGGCTTTTCTGACAATTTAGTGTAGTTTTTGCAAATGCCATGCATAGCTTAATTCAGCAGCAGTGCAATATACAGTAAACAAATGGACATCAATTGTGGTAATGCCTTGATTATATTTATGGAGGTGATATGCAGTAAAGCCTAACACCCAACAAAGTACTGACTGCACAGATTACCTTCTGCACTGTATAAGTTCAGTATTCAGTAACAATATTTTTTATGATGTTTATGACTAATGTCACACAAGTTTGCACTATATGCCTGTTTTTTTAATTTTGAAATTGTTTCTTGAAACTGTTGTTTTAAGTTTCAGAATCTGACTTTTCAAGAAAATGAAAGGGTGGTATTTTAAAAACTGGCATACAGTATATTAAGACCTATCTTATTTACAATTTTGCATAAAATACATGAAAGAAATACAAAACCCCTAAGTAAACTGACAAGTAACAGGAAAGTCCAAAAACACTCTGAATCAATGCCCAAATATCAGAACTTTTCAATTTTAATCATAGCTTTTTTTTTTCATAACAGCCCCAACTAGCTCTGTTGATAAAGCATGTGAGACATAATCTCAGGAGAGTGGGTTCGTGTCCCATGTCGGGCGTCAGGTCCTCCATGTTGGAGGTTGGACACAAGGCTAACAACTGTCCCGTAAAAAATGAATATTATGGAAACAGCAACAGGATATTCCTGCCCTATATGCTGGAAGGTATAACGGGCAAACATCCATTTTTATAATAAAAATTTCTTCAGGAGATACAGCATTAAACTTGATTCACAGAAACTCAATTCAGAAGAACTAACTGGTATTTTAAACAGAGTTATGACTTGTACTGTAGCTAGCCATCAGGAATTAGGTGAGCTCACCTAGTTCACTGCAGGTCCCCACTTTGCTGACATTTGTTCCAAATGAGCTCTTGATTAATGTTTTTTTAATTGAACCCCAGATGTTACTTTCAATTTGAAAATGAGCAATTAGACAATTTTAATTGTAACTACAACAGGTTTTAAATTTCTGGTGGAAGGTTTGCCAACAAGGGCAGCATGGCGGAACAGTGGTTTACATTGCTGTCTTGCAGTGTGGGGGGCCTTGGGTTCAATTCTGGACCTGGTGTGCTGTCTGTGTGGACTTTCTATGTTCCCCTCAGTGTTTGTGTGGATTTTTTTCTGGGTTCTCTGGTTTCCTCCCACAGTCCAAAGATATACTGCTGGCTTAATTGGCTCTGGTGTGAGTGATAAAGTGGCTGGAATATAGATGGCTGGATGGATTTGTTAGCAACTGTTCATTAATCTGGTCTGGCTTTAACCCACTTGGCTAGAGTGCCGGTCCATTTAGATGAGGTGGTCCAGCCCCCAAAGGGGACGAGTGAAGGGGCTGTTACAGGGAGCATGCTGGGAAGGAAAGCGTCCTGAAGTTTACAATACTAAACAATGTCCGTGACTTGCAGTATGTAAAAAAGGCTTTTCCAAAGGTTCTCAAAGACAGAAAAACTGGCACTTTCATTCCCTGTAAAACACTTCGCCCATTAGCTCCTCTGGTATCTAAAAACCTTCTCTATCCATACAGTACTTAGAGAATATTATATTATAATATTACATGTATTTTTTCAAGATGTGGTGTTCTTGCTCCAAAACCCCAAATCATTTACAGGTCCCATTATTCCTGTAGTATACATACTGTAGCAAAGCTGCCTGGCAGCACTAGAGACGATTCAACTTTGTTACAAACTCCAACAGTAAAATAATAAAATGTAGTGTAGGTATCTGACCATGGACTGGAAAGAAATATACAAAGAAACAATGGATAGTTTCATCTGTGATACTGATCTGTAAACAAAAATTATATTTTCACTAGTCACTTTGGTCATGTACTGTATGCTTTCATACTTTTAAAATATTCATATTTCAATTAAAACGTATAGCGCAACAAATGTAAAAATGGCTCTCATTTAGCCATGTAGAAGACTAGCATCTTTCCTTTGTTTGGCCTCTCTTTGCCAGCTTTGTGGGAACCTTTTGGGGCTCACTCACCACAAACCCATTCTCTTAACTGCTGCTCCCATAGCTAACACCGAACCCTTAGACATACAAAGCTTAAGTCTTTCCGTTCCAGTCATTCTTACAATAGTGAATTCATTTTTTTCTAAAGCAAATTAAAACCAGATGCAAAATAGAGGTCTGAAAATGTGATCTATGCATCAAAAAAGAAAAAGTTATACAAGTCGCATACCCCTTTCCAGTTCCTAATTGTGCAGAGAACTGAGATCAACAGCTGTGCCTTTAGTTCATTTAAGTTTCACTGTAGTGCCCTGCCAGATCACTCCCAAATCAGACACTGGAAATAAAAAGTCATTAAAATAATTAAAGTTCAGCAAAATACATTCCTTTTGGCACGTGAAATATAGAGATTGCCAGCTCCACTCCTTTAGAAGCATAGGAAGTTTGCTTTCCAGCTGAGCTTAAATGTTCTAAAACAAGTAGCAAAGTCCTGAAAAGCACAGTGATACTCACTCAATCGCCACACGTTGCTGGAACTGTTTTTTAATTTAAATGATTAAAGATATTTGGTTTTAAAGACACATTTGTGATATTTGAACAATGTGATCATTTCATGAGGTTTCTCCTGGTGAAATGCTCTTCAAAATGTGTTTACCACACAAGTAGGGTCTCTCTGCTTCCTGACAAAGCCCTCATTCACATTCATATATACAAATGACTGTGTGTCCTTGGAGACAATCTAAAGTCTGTGAGGATTCAAATTAAAGGTGTACCAGAGTTTTATCAGGGGTGGAAGAGAAATGAAAGATGACCACGTGAGCCTGCTGTCCTTTCATGACACTTGACCAACCAGGCTGCAAAATAAATTGTATATGTTGTAGAGTTTAGACATCTAGCCTTTCAGATGAAACATGTTGGGTCACTGGCTTTATGTTTGTTTTTACAGTTAGCTGAATTGCACTATCCTGTGATGAGCATGTCATAGCCAATTATGCTCTTTCAAAAACGTACAGCAAAGTGGAGCATCATAGCTACAATAGAAAGATAATTTCTATTGTATGTTTGGTGAGCATTCTGGCGCACTATGGCTGCTGTCACATCATCCAAGTGGGGCTGCACATTGGTGGTGGTGGAGGGGAGCCCCCATTACCTGTAAAGCGCTTTGAGTGGAGTGTCCAGAAAAGCGCTACATAAGTGTAAGCAATTATTATTATTTTTCTATTTCACACCTGAAGAAGGCTCCACGGCCGAAATGCGTTTTCTTTCTTCTTTTGTCAGCATGGAATAAACCTATTACTTGTTCCTTTGCAGCCTACGCATGCTGACGCAGCTACCCACCTGATTAACTAAAGAATGCAGATACTTTTTCTTATTTTACAAATTATTTAGATCAGAATGCCAATCTAAATAATACAGACAAAAAGAAATCATTGTGATGAAGTAAAAACAACATAACTCAAAGGCTTCTGGACACCATAAACTTGACAAAAATATTTAAGTAGCAGCTTTTACAAATATTGTACATGAGATAAAAACCCAAACACTAAGCAGTAAGTTGAAAGTGTTATACAGCAATCCTTTATTGTTTAAAATATATCTTTAATTTTGATTTTTGTTCTTCAAAGATTACATTACAAGCCAAGACAATTTACAAAATATATGATCATACAAAGAGTTCTCCCAGACATTGTTTGGCAGTGATCTCAAACCCTGGTTCTGAACAGGCCGAGTCCTACAAATTCTACATGAAATTTCGAACAATTATAGGTCTAATGAAGTAACAAGAGTTCATCTGGAAGGACAATCATAAAATAAACAACAATATTGCTTTCTGGAACAAGGACTAGAGATCATGCCTAAAGTTACTGCAAGCATGACTTAACCTAGGGAAAACATCCAGCCGGTTTTCTGAGATCACTGTTCATCATGGATTGCTTGACTGTGTAAGCCGGCCAGTTGTTAATTAAATTCGACTTAAATTCGGATAGCTTGCAACCACCCAGGATCACTGCTGGTCACATATAATCTTAAAAGGTTTGTGTATTGCAATCAACACATTATAACAGGACTAAACATTATTTTATGCACATTTCCTTTACTACATATTGGATGACCCATTTGCCAGTGACTTAAAATGATTCAAAAGTATAAAATCTTTAGTGTGTCAGGTAACATTTTAGTTACCTTCTAAGTGGACATGTTCATGGGCATATTCAAAACACATCAACTTTCAAAACACCCAGTTTTGCTTAATAAAAAACACAAATTCTTATTATAAAGCATCATGTTTTTTAAAATTACTGTCCTGAAAGATATGCATTACTTTCCAAACTTGCTTTTGTTTTTTTTCCCCTTACAAGGAAAAAAAGCATCTTTAATTTAGCATGATGGAAAGTGTATTTTGAATATAAGCCTACTATGCATCTTACATGTGTTCACATTTTATATTTTAATGAAACTCCCAGCACCAAATTTTGCTCCTTTCCTTAAATTTGCACGTCACATTTCCTTTTATATATTAAAGTTCAAGCTGTGATAATTTATTCAGAGCACTGTCCACCATGAACAACAGCCCAGCACCTTTGTCTTTTTATTCATACTCCAAATGCAACAGTAATCTACAGTGTATAGGTACAGGATTATATAAAACAAAATTAGAAACTAAAAGGAAAGCTTTAAAACATCACTTTTTCCCACATAGTAGGTATATACTGTACCATCAGAGAAGGGTTACTTCTAATTCAAATAAATTTTAAAAGTCATTCTACTCATATTTGCTTTGTTATATTTAAATTTACAGTGGTTTAATGATGGAGTTCCCAAGCAGATCTTGTTGGGAGGCTGCCAATACTGAGGTCTAAGCATAAAGAATGCATAAATTGAAGCACAACAGAACACCACTGAAAACACATCTTACAAAAAATCTCTTCTATACTAATAATAAATGACCACTAACTTTTCACCACAATGTCACTGCAAATCCTAGTCTCTGCCTGTTAGGAACAATTAGAACAGGTATTATGCACAAACACTCTATATTCTGTCCAGCAGAAAACATCATCAAAAGCTTTATTAATCCTTAGTAGCGTAGTCTAATTCTAGCAGCTACACTACATGTCTGAGCAAGCACACAAGTACTTTCATTGCAGGTACATTCAGAAAAAAACATTCTTAATGGTAGTATCATGGCTTGTTGCTTTTCAATGTTTATTTTTAGGGAATACACAAAATACCTCTTAAACACCATACAGATTCAAGGGACTTTTGTTCTGGTTTGAAGCCATCTAAGCATACAGACAAGTGCATTAAATTTAATTTATAATCACTATCAGTTAAATACTAATATAGTGGAGACACAGGAACATCAAGGTTACAGAGGAACAAGAATGGTTTATACATAATTTTATTCCAGCTTTGTTGTTTAAATGTCTATTTTACTTGTTTCTTCAGTTACTCAGTCCCTAGTGTCAAAAATACCCTACTTCAAGCGTAGAGTTTCCAACAATTTCAGCACACAGAATCTCCTCAACTTTCTGGCTATTAGTTCTGACAAAATAGCTATTACTCGTTGATCAACTGATGATGCAGAGACACTATTGGGAATGACACTGTATCAGATACTCCCATAATGAGCATCTGGTTCCTTCTCCAGAGGTCCAATTGGCTACATTGCAGGCAACACACCTGAAAGAGGACGTGACTAAAACACAGAACTGGCACAGGGTTTATACCAATTACAAAACCCACTGGGCATCTTAGGAGTTGAAAGTTGAAAATCTACAATTATGGCCTAAACTGAAAACTGAATTCAATTGGTCCATGATTTACTGTAAGAATGGCTGGGACAAAAAACAGATGAAAGAATGCCTCTTCTGGAGCATGACCGGGATCCACTGCACAGTGCAGGGCTGCCTATTGTCACCATTACTCTCCCTTGGATGCGGCACACCAACCCTTGGTATTATGGACAGTATATAACCCACACAGTGCACAGTATATACCCCACCATCACCAGTGCAAGGAGGCCATTCTTGTCACAGACCAGCTAAAGCATTTAATCTGGTGCTGCTCTCCAATGCACTCAGCTGTCCCCTGTCCAGCTACTTTTACCATCTCCAGAAGAAGCTGGAATCAAAACATTGGAAGCATTATCTAAAAATTATCTAAAAAGGTAACAGTAGTACTGTAGTAGTATTTAGTACAGTCATAAAAAGGTATTAAATCAGTGTTAAATCAAATGTTCCATCTTTAAAATTAGGTATGTTAATCTTTAACACATAAATGCTACCAGGATTTTGACACTACTTTATTTGGCCAGAAGAAAAGGTATCACACATTAAATAAAGCTCCTGCAAAATTCAGTGCGTTAAAAAATGAACTGTAAACCAGTTACTTAAAAAAACTCCTTATGTAGGGAAGTATATTATCATAATGTTACATATTATCTTAAAAATAGGAGTAGAAAAAGAAAAAAATAAATTGTAAAATACTTGTAAATGATCAACATTTTCCTAAATACATCTTGAGATCTATAAGACCTACAATGCATTGTCTGTGACAAACCAAATTACAAGCACATTATTTACATCCTGTTTAAGCATAATTTACTTTCTAGTATTAACAATACAGTTGATACTACTAATTGCAAAGTAAATTAAAATATCACATGAAATTCCAAAAGAAGGAAAATGTCATATTTTTGGTCTTGCATATATTCAAGTACTTTCAGGAGATAATACTGCCATTACAAACAAAAACACTACTATCACTATTATCATTTAGAATTATTAAAAACACATGACCAGTTTCAGACTCACTACACAGTTTTGAATGTTGATCTTTATGTCACTTTTTCATAACTTGCAGGTTGAGTGCTATGATTTGTGAAGCAACAGTCTAGAATACAGAATTTTAGAATACAGACCATGAATAAAAAAAACATTTTATCAAAAGACCTACAGGCATTGGTAGCCAGAACACTGGCTACATACACTTGTTTTCCTCGTGCCTTTAGAAACAATATTTTACTGCTTTATTGTCTTGCAATTCAGAATTAACCCCTCAAGACATCCCTGGTGTTCTAATACTGAGTCTGCTACACTGGAAAACAAAATAAGGAATAAATGGTAATAAAACCCCAAATTAGGATTTTGTCACCACTACAACACATTAAAACAGATTCAAAACATCACAGATGTCATTTAAATTTATACATTAAAGCAACGCCTACGAAAAGGCTCAAAATCTCGTGGATTATTTTAGAGGTTCGAATAATATTTGAAGACTTTATGTATCCACTCGGCGTAGTACGGAACATTGACAAAGATTGCAGGGCGGTTGGAACGAGCGCATCCTCTGCCGTGAACACTCACGCCAACTACTACTTTGAAATCTCCTTCTTCACACACCAACGAGCCTCCATAGTCTTTCTGTAAAAGGGAAGCAGAAGGCAGGTAAACTAACGAGTCATTTCCTTGGCAGTAATCCCTGTTACCGGGAGAACGGCAAATTATTGACAGCTCGCAGGATCAATCAGCCTAACACCAGGATATCCCAAAACTCCAGTAAATTCACGTTCCGGCATTTAATATTTTCATAATGGATTGATGAATTATTCATTTAATTCATACATTACTGTTAGTTTCTGCCACATTTTAAATGTTTCATTTTGCCCCAGAGGTGCCAGCAAGCATTATTTATAGATATTAACTTGGCAGATGGAGATTTATACTCTCTAGTGAAAGACATGTAAATATTTTTTTAATTTATGAGCACAATTAATAGCCTTATTTTCATAAATGCTAAACTCGTCATTCTCACTGTAGAGCTATAAAATATTATATTCACTTTTACAGATGAGTGAATAACCATCATATTAACAAATTTATGCTGGCCCCTCTAACATAAAGAAACTACAGAGTACTTTCCAGGGAGCTAAAATACTGTAGCTCAACACAGAATACAACACAGCATTGGACTATACACCTGCAATAAGTCCAATATATAACCTGGAGCTACATCATTCATTGCCTTAAATGTGGATAAGTGAACCTTAATGTTTATTGTAAATTACACAGGACATCAGTGCAATTTCCAAAAGACAGAGGTTATGTGCAGATGAGTTTAGTTAACACATGAACCACAGAATCCTGGACATACTCAAGCCTATTTGGTACCTTAGAAGATACCCAAGCACACAGTCATGTGAAAAAGAAAGTACATCCTCTTTCAATTCTATGATTTTATATACCAGGATTTAAAAAAATAATCTGGTCCTTACCAGTTCCTAAAATTAGGAAATCTAACCTCAGGTGATAAACGCATAACAGAGGAACAAGTAATTATTCCATGCTGTAAAGAGAAGAAAGAAAACATTTCGGCCTTCTTCAGGTTGGCTCCATGGCCCAAACATTGCATTTTCTTTCTTTTCTTTTCAGCATGGAATAAACCTATTACTTGTTCCTTTGCAGCCTGACGCAGCTACCCACCTGAAACACATAACAGATTCCACTGTCATTATTCAACAAAAAATAAGCCGAAATGCAGAAGCCCGGTGTGGAAAAACTAAGTACACCCCATGATTCAGTAGCTTTTAGAGCCACTTTTAGCAGCAATAACTTGAACACATCTCACAATGTTTTGGAGGAATTTTGTCCCACTCTTCTTTACAACATTGTTTCAGTTCATTGATGTTTGAGGACATTCGTTCATGCACAGCTCTCTTAAGGTCCTGCCACAGCATCTCAATGGGGTTGAAGTCTGGACTTTGACTTGGCCATTCCAACACCTTGATTCTTTTTTTTTCAGCCATTCAGTTATAGATTTGCTGGTGTGCTTGGGATCATTGTTATGTTGCATGACCCAATTTCAGCCAAGCTTTAGCCGTTGGACAGATGGTCTCACATTTGTCTCTAGAATACTTTGGTATAAAGAGGTGTTCATGTTCAACTCAATGACTGCAAGGTGCCCAGGTCCCGTGGCTGCAAAACAAGCCCAAACCGTCAACCCTCCACCACCATGCTGGATGGTTGGTAAGAGGTGTTTGTGGTGATACGCCGAGTTTGGTTTTTACCAAACATGCCATTGTGCATAATGATCAAACATCTCTACTTTGGTCTCGTCTGTTCAAAAGGACAGTGTTCCAGAAATCTTGCGGTTTATTCAGATGTAATTTTGCAAACCTAAGCCGTGCTGCCATGTTCGTTTTGGAGAGAAGAGGGCTTTCTCCTGGCTACCCTTCCATGAAAGCCATACTTGTTCAGTCTTTTGTCTGATTGTACCGTCATGAACTTTAACATTTAACATGTTAACCAAGGCCTGTACTGTAGATCCCTAGATGTAGCTCTTGGGTTCTTTGTGATTTCTCTGAGCATTATACGGTCTGACCTTGGGGTGAATTTGCTGGGACACCCACTCCTGGGAAGATTGGCAACCGTCTTGAATGTTCTCCATTTGTAAATAATCCTTCTCAATGCAGAATAATGGATTTCAAACTGTTCGGAAATGGCCTTATAACCCTTCCCAGATTGATGAGCAGCAACAATTGCTTCTCTGAGTTAATTGCTGATGTCTTTTCTCCTTGGCATGGTGTTAACACACACCTGAATGCTCCAGACCACCAAGCTGCCAAAAGGTTGGCTTTTAGAGCTGGTCACACTTCCGGATGATCAGCTAATCAAGTGCAATTGATCAGCGGCACCTGGCAGCTAATTACCCTCTTAATTCCTGTGGAAGCAAGTAAGGGTGTGCTTAATTTTTCCCACATGGTTTCTGCATTTTGGCTTAAGTTTTGTTGAATAAATAATGACAGTGAGATTATAGAAGTTGGTGAGGACCAGACGACTGTTATTTATGTCCTGATATGCAAAACCATAGAATTGAAAGAGGATGTACTTTCTTTTTCATATGACTGTATATGGTGTTACAGCAGTCTTATATTTCAGCAGAGAGTAATGGCAATTGTCAACTGTGCAATTAAAAACAAACAGAAAAAAGGTACTTATGACATTCTTAACACGTGTTTCAGATAACACGGGGCAAACCTTAGCATCAAAGTTTCTTACATCCATCAAGAGCTTGATTTCTCTAGTGTTGACAACAATATTTTAATTTCTGTTGCATTCAAATCTTAATATCAGACAGACAACTGTAAATTTCAGAGAGTAGTAGTACTGTATATAATCTGGTTTGTCTGTAAGCCAGAGTGTTTTGAATTTGTTAACCCAAGCCCAACAGGGAAATTGTAAATCTTCATTAGGAGAGTTCCCAGCACATAGCCATGTGGAACACCCTGAGTAAGTGGGGAAACACAAGATTAAAAAAAACAGGATTAATTAAATGACACCCGATTGCTAAATAAGAGCAAAATTAATAAAGGGACGTACGAAGCCTGATGATCCAAAGATTTCATTCAACCATTTCTTAAAAGACCCCACAGAATTGGCATCAGCAACTCTTTTTTGGTCCTCTTATTTGTTACAATTGAAATGATAATTTTGTAATTATGCAGAGGAATGCATTGTCTTTCTAAACTTACTTTAACTCATTTTATTAAGAGAAATGTTTCAGAAGTGACTGAAAATTAGTTTTGCTGTAAGAGTGACTTGGTGAGTGGGGTGGTTTGTTTTCATGTTGCAAAATGAAGGGCTATTACAACAGATCTTCTTGATGCTTGACTGCTTTTTATAAAAGATAACAAAAACCATGACGTGCTTTATAATGACAAATTTGAAGAAGGTGAATTTGTTTTTTATTACATCAGTTATTGTGAGAAACTGGACAAGCAAAGGTTCAAATCTGAACAAATATAATTTTTTTGTCTAAAAACATGCTCCTTACCAATCAAACATAACAGTAGACACAAGGACCAGGGACACAAGTGGAAATGATGAATGTACATTTATGACTGAAAGATTCTTTACAAACATTGTCATGAGTGTATAGAATAGGCTATCCCAAAATACTGTAGAAGTTAAAAGACTTTTTCAAGAAACAGCTAAATTATGTTTTCTAGCCAATTCACATTTTTTTCTGAAAGGAAAATTAAGGAACACTGATTTTTTTAAGAAGCAAGCACTCAAAAAAACTTAAAGCAAAAAAACTAAACATTTTAAAAACCCTTCAAGTGTGATGCGTCTACAGAAGACTGTAATAAACAGGGTGGTAAAAATAAAATGAATCGTGCTTATTAAGTAATTTATCAAGTCTGATCCTATCCTGACAGGTTGGAGGAACTGATACAAGTGCTCGAATTTCTCAAAGGCACCGACAAAGTCCACCCAGCAGACTTCTTCTGAATCAACTCTGTGGAAACACATTTAAAACTGAGAACAGGAGCACTTCATTACCCAAGGAGTTGTGGGTGTATGGAACATGCTTTCCACTGGAAACCGTGGTATCCTTCAAGAAAAGGCTGGATGAGATCCTTGGATCAAGTAACTACAAAACTACTTAATGGGCAAGATAGGCCAAATGGCCCCCTGTCATCTGTAACCTTCTTCTGTCTCAATGAAATCTTCAGAATGATCACCAATGGGCACTCACCTCACAAACTCCTTCATCCCTCTTTCCTCCAGCACAAAGTCTAGACTCGGTTATTGGGAGACTCCCTCTATGGTATGCATTGCACCTTTCATTGCTAACAATTGGCAACTGCACTACTTTCATGATGCCATCATGGCCGGTTCCTGAAAGAAGAAAAAGGGAAAATGAGCCAAATCTAAACGACTTTAAAAAAAAAATAAATCTTCAAAGTACACTCCTGCCATGACCATACAGAAAGGGTAATGTACGAGCCTGACATGGAAGAGAAAATGAGTACTGAAGATGAATATATAAGATGGCTTTGTACTGCTGAGTGCAGATTTCCCAGTAATATGCCGTAAGGCTGAAATAAGTCGCAGTGCAGTTCAGTGAAGACATAAAAAGGGCTTTTATCCTTTACAAAAAGGCAACTTCTGGAGAACAATCAAAGGAACACTCAAAAGTGTATGCTGCACTGCATTCAATCATTCACAGAGGGTTTTTATCATCTTGAGTAAAGCCCTAGATAAGCTCTTGTTTTACTGTAGTTTACAAAAGAGAAAGATTCTAACCCATATAAAAATTGCCATACATAGCACAACAGTATTTTGGACAACACTTATCTGCGCCTTCAGTTGATCTGAAATGACAAAAACCTGTACACTCTCTGCAAACACTCCCCACAACTGGTGTCTATCATTGTTTCTCAGCATGTACACGGTTTAGAATTAAACCTTTCACAGATCAAGCTCTACAATGCCTTTGAGGCTCGCCCTGTGTTGCATTTTATTTTAACACTTCTTAGAAAGGTTTACCTAAATCAGTAGTACTGTATACACAGAACTGACCTTTTGTAGTTGCATCTCTATGTACGGTAGCTGCCGAATTCAAATTTCTCTTTCAAATTTACAATTATTGCTCTTTTTGATGCCTTCCTAATATGCCATTCTCCAACTCCTGTGAACTGCTGCAACCCCTCTTCCAGAAATGGGGAAACAAGGACAGTGAATGCTCTCTTCCAACATGAGGATGGTCAAACTCCTTGTTGTTTTACCTGCTGTGAGCTTGAGACTGCCCAAAGGCAGAATTAGCACTGACTGGATGCGACGATGCTGTACCCCTAGATAGCTCAACACTGCCCTACCACGGTAGCAATTCTACTAACACAGTCCAGGAATGAATGGATATTAACCTATGAAAATAATTTCTATAAACCACTCAACATAAACTATATATGTCTATAAGTCAGGAGTAAGAACATGTGCGCAGTTCTGTGGAAACTTCAAGATAGCAGTGTGGACTGGACATGAGGCGTTCTGGAATTTTAATGGAAGGTTGTGGGACACTGCTATTGTACCGTTGAGCAAAGGAATTCTCTGTACTGAAAACCCCCGTTGTTGAAATGGGAACGTCGCAGATCATCATTGTAACAGAGAAATTGTGCTCAGTTTATTGTTCTGGTTAAACAAAGGATTAATTAAGAAAAACTGCAAAAATAGAGAAGAAAAAATAGTACCTTTGGTCTCTCCCCATCCATACATAGTGCAATTGGTGTGTTCCGGAATAGCACATCCTGTGACGGGGAGCGGAATTGTACGAACGTTTTCAGTTTGCAAAGCAGCCCTATTTGTAAAAGAATAAAATATCAAACATTCTGTGACAACCTGATATTGAGTTTCTTTTAACTTCTCATAAACATCAAGAAGCGTATACAGCTAATGTCTACTGCTCCCAAAAAAAATGGTGTCAAAAATGTTTAACTTCCCACTTTTTATCACTTCTGTAATCTGGCACTGTTATTTTATCTACAAGCACTTTCCATCTGCTTAACACAGAAGTAAACTGTACAATGATTTTCTGGAAAATGAAAAAACTTAATTCAGACACTTGGAAGAGAAAAAGAGCAGTAGAGCATGCAACCTTATCAGCAGTTACAGTACGTGTTCACTTAGACATGAAATATGAGCCTATAAACTAAGAACTACCCAGCGGATGAACTTAGTTAAAAGCAGTACTGAGATGTCACAGGGTCAGTAATAAACAAATTACAGAAAGACATTATTATATTATTATGGAGTGCTATCCAAAACCATTGACATTCAAAGAGAGCCTCCATGAAGGAGAGACTTAAACAAATATTTCCTGATATATTTTATTCAATGCCCAGAATAATTAACTTAATATATCAAGGTACAGTTTTGTTCTAAAAAAGCAGAAGTCAAAGACAGTCTTTACCCTTTAATATTGCCAGTACAGCCACTGCTTAGCAATTGTAACTTGTCTGGCATGTCTGACCACACCAGTCTAAGAAATTAATCATGCTCTTTCAGCATGTCTTTGGTAAAACGGTTTTTAAAATTTACCCAGATAATTTCAGCAAAGCGAGATTTGAGCCTTCAGGTCCACAGACCACATGGGAGATCTTCAGAACCTGTTTTTCTGACTCTTCCCGTCCTGTATCGTTGAGGTGGAGGAAACCCATCCAGACACTGTATTCGGCCAAATCAGGCACACTGTAAAGAACAGCTTTAGTGAATTATCGTGGCAATTCAAAACTTCTGTGTGATCTTTAAAAGAGAAACACTGCACAAAGCAAATGCAGTCATTAACACCTGCTGAAAATTTCACTTTTGCAAACTTGGACCCCTTTCAGTATCGTCTAAACTTATAAAATGAATCCGTAGATGTAAAACTCACAGACATTGCAGTCCAAACATAATTTAATGAGACGGCTGGTATTAAACATTATAACGGCACCAACAACAGATTGCACACGATTTGCAAGGATAAAGACAGACATACACAGCCACACAGAATAAATAAGTAAACCAAGAAGTGTAGTTTTATTTTCTAGCTGCTCCTTAACTGCTTGTCTCTAAAGCACAGATGGGCAACTCCAGTCTTAAACAGCCAGGATCCAGCAGGATATACAGTTACAGCAACTGATTGGTCCCAAAGAATAATGACACCCGATAATTAAGTGCATTGAAAATGTTTATTGAGTACTTAGTTACAGCTAGATCTGGCTTAACCCGCGTGGCTAAGGGCCAGCTCCCCATGCTGTAGGACAAGGAAGACAGGACCTCCTGCAGAGTGAGGAGTGAACCGAGAGACAGCTGAAAAGGTACAGATGGTGTCGAGGAGGGGTGTAAAGGAGAACGGTCCTAGTCTTGACATTTATAGTTTTTGTATGCATTTTTAACATATTTAATAATAATAATAATAATAATAATAATAAATTCCTTACACTTACATAGCCCTTTTTATGAAAACTCCACTAAAGTTTCACAGGTAATAGGGACTCTCCTCCACCACAACCAATGTGCAGCATCTGCCTGAATGATGCGACGGCAGCTATAGTGCACCAGTACGCTCCCCACACATCAGCTCTCAGTGGGGAGGAGAACAGAGTGATGAAGCCAGTTTATAGATGGGGATTATTAGGAGGTCAAGACTGGTAAAGGCCAATAGGAAATTTGGCCAGGACGCTGGAGTGACACTCCTACTCAGGAGCTCGGTTTCACATCTCATCCAAAGAACGACGCCTTTTCACAGTATGATGCCGCATCACTGTACTGGGGCATTAGGGCCCAAACAAACCGTGAGATGAGTGCCCCCTACTGGCCCCACTAACATCTCTTCCAGCAGCAACCTCAGTTTTCCCAGAAGGTCTCCCATCCTGGTACTAGCCAGGCTCACTCCCATTAAGCTTCAGTCGGCTACCAGGTGTGAGTTGCAAGGTGATATAGCGGATATCAGGAAATATTACAACTAAGCTGATATGAGAGTGAACATGGCATAAGTTCAAGACATAAAAATAACTGGCTTCTTTTTATTATCTTAGGAAATTGTTAAGATAGATAGGACTTGATTGATCCCGTAGGGAAACTGATGAAGTTTAATAAAATAGTTTAATAAAATAATTAAGATGAGTGATGCCATGAAAAACAAGGAAACCTGCTTGCCAACTCATACTCTGCTGTAATCATACTGTACTCTTTGCATATAACCTTCCGAAATACAGTAGTTATTCTAGCTACTAGACAAATAAGCTAGTTAACAAATGTCAAAGGGAAATTCTGTAACTTGAAAAATTAAACCTAAATTTTTACACTACTTCATAAATGAGCATTTGTCTAAATTATGTTTTTTAAAATTACCAGGCATCCGGAATAAGCAGTTTTCTTAATGGGTATCTTTTTGATATCCAGGTTTATTTATCTATATCCTTTTGCGGAATTTCCGAACGAACAGGAATTAAACTTACCAGGAAGAGAAACACTGCTTATCTGTAAGGACCCAATCCTCTCTCACCAATGATCCACCACACCAATGAGAATTGCTGTTGACAAAACAAAAATCCATGTTACCTCCACCTTTCAGAATTTGTTACACATTTTTAAACATTCACAAAACACGAAAACTTGAAAAACAAAAACGTTTGTGGAATTTAATTAAAATAATATTGGCCTACCAATCTGGTAGTGACTGTATTTCTCCTCAACAAGTACAGTTAGAGTAGCAGCCAGCACACACAATCTCTAAACAATATGAAGCAGATGAAAACAATCTGTAAATTACCCTTTCTGTATGCTAACCATCCAGCTTGCTTCCTTAATCTTTACCGGTGCTCCTCCAACAATTCTAATTCTTTTATGACGAAAACAGGAAATCTGTGATGGATCACCTTGAACAAAAGCAATATGCATGGTTTAATATACACAGTCGGGGAAAAAAAAACAAGAATTTAGTTAATAACTAAAAAATCAACAGGACCATTTATTACCAAACAGACGCAGTCCAATATTTAGGAAACAGTAATTAAGCTAGACAGGTTAATCCATCAACCAGATTATTTAACTTAATAGAATATATTATAGCATCAAAGTTTTATTTCAGTGTGTAATACTGCTTTTTCCCTATTCCCTACTCGAACAGGAACATTCCAGACAAACAATAATTAAATTCCAATACAACCTGTAAAAGCAAAGGTTTTTTCCTATAAGCACATCTAAAATATCACAATAATTCAAGATGTTCTTATTTGTTAATGTTCATAAAGAATGGAATTAAGTTTTAGTATTATTACTGTCATTTCGATTTTATACTCTTAAAATGTTAATTTCTTTAAACCACTTATGCTTGGAATGGGATTAGAACAGGAATTGTATTTATAGCTCATACAAATCAGTTTAAAATATGCTATATAATACATTAAGGATTTTAGGTAAAAGCTGAATCCTGTTATTCAAGTTTTCTTTGTTATCAGAGAAATTGACACATTACAGAGTATTTAGGATTTGCTGGTTATAATAAGATTAAACTCTACTTCACAATTAGTGTTTAAATCCAGAGGGGACAGAAGCTCCAAAGCTTTCATAGTTGTCAACTTACTCTTTGTAGGGATCACATTAGATGAAGGCTTACCTAAATAAAAAGGCAAAGAAGCACTTGAGTGAAGACAGTTCAAGAGAGTTTGCAAATAAACAAAATAATCTCTCCAACAGTAATTTAAACATCTAAAAAAAGCCCCAAGAGAATAACTTTTGGTTATTCTTTTTTTAAAATAGAGTAAATAGAGACTATTAAATAGTCATTTTCTCCATTAAAAACTGCTGTGCAATTTGGTCGTCCATGTGCACCTTGGTTCCCTTAAAGAAGCACACAGGAGCTTCTGACAGGATACGATGCAGACGTTCATATACTATACTTTAGTAATCACACCCTTATATGTTTACAGCGCTATTGGTTGTGAGGTACTAGGCAACAGTTCTGTCAACTGATTAAAAAGGTGCTTCTTTAAGGGACCAAAGAGATTGAAATCATCTGGTCAGGCAGGTGACAGAATACCATTACCATAAGATGGTTCTGAATGTAGTCTTGTGCTCTTCACACAATCTTTAAACTAGTGTTAGGTATCACCACTGTCATGTGGTCTCCTGGCCAAACAGGTGATGGTGTTCTCAGTACTCTACCTATTCAAACCTGCCAGGTTAACCCACTGGGTAAACAATTACCTCCTGTTCTCAGTTTTAAATGCTATTCCACTATTTGAAATACAAACACCTTTATATTTTCACTTGTTCAGTGGGCATAAACACTTTCAAGATTTCATTACTTTAAAAGATACAAACTTTACGTCACTTATGGTTTGTATTTATGTTAGTTACATAGCTGTAGTTACTGGAAGACGAATGTAATTAGAGTAAGAGATGGAATGAATATGAGATGTAAATGCTGGCAAACTAGCTACAAAATGTACAGCTTGTACAGCACAACTGTTGCTCATTAATCAAATAGGAGCCTGATGTTACTTATACAAAACTGCATTTTTAGAATTTAAAACACAAAGAGAAATTGAGGACGCAGCACCAATAGAACAAGGATGTTCCCAGCAATGCCTGTAAACCCCTTGAGAAATTACAGTTGTGAGATTCTAAACAGTTATGTGCTGTTCACTATTAGCAGCTATGTAAAACTCAGGCCACACTGCAGTCATTAACGTAGTATTAACACAAAGCAGACTTTAAACAGACTTGAAATCTACACTCCACAAGTGTCACTGTCACATGGAAACATTTAAAAGATCATTTGTGGTTAATCAACTTACAAAGCTGTTTGGCCACAATGAATTGATGTAATTGGTTATGCCTTTTTAAAAATGTTTAATTTTACAACTACAGACTTGTCTTCAAACCCAAACTGCACATTATACAAGAACTTTCAGTTGTCTGCATCATTAGGAATTTGCAAACACAGAAACATAATAACCAAATAACATGTTTTCTTCATACACACTAGAGTTGCAAGGCTACAGTGATCGGTAACCCTTTGAAGTTCTCAATGAACAGGAAATATGTTTCTACAGCCTACTAGAGCTTTAAAAAGAAAGACAAAATGGTCCTGGAAATCATTGAAATGTCCTTCTTGGTACATGTCAGGAACAGCTTGTTCAAAAAGGATACTTACAAGGCTTAATCATACAGTAATCCCAAGGAACTGAAGAGTTGTTTGTGTAGCACCAGGGACCGTGTTTGTCTTTATCAGGGTTCCGACAGAAATTGTTTTCCAGGCTTGCAATTTCTGAATTTGTAGCTGAGCTAAGAAAAAAACATGAACAATATAAAGTTAACTAACAAAAATATATAGTTTACTCTAGTATGCTTTAAAAGTTGTAAAGGTTTAAAGTTTATATACAAGGAAAATGATCATCTTTGGAGAGCAGCTAGGTGCTGGGGCCCCAGGGCTCAATTCTTTGAGGTCAATCTGTGTGGAGTTTGCATGTTCTAACTGTTACAGAGTGACAGTGGCCCAGAGCCTGAAACTACAGAACTACATAAGCGGTTATTGAAAGTGATGTGATGATGTGATAATCTCTGTCAATTTGTGAAAATGTGGCTTAATCTGAAGTTAAAGCCATATAATATCTCTACAGTGATTTTGTAGTTACTGTACAAAATTCCATAAATGGCCTAGACAAATTTTCTGCGTGATTCCAGCTCAGGGGAATACAAAACTATGTACTTATGCATGTTTCCCATCGTATGCCCACCATGATTCATAACTCCCACATTTTAATCCTGTAAAATGTCATTTTTTGCCAAAAGAATTATTGAGGTAAGAACAAACTTTGTTAAAAAAAAGTCTAAAATAGCTCAATTACTGCCTTAAAACCTTAGGGCAAGCCCCTAGGTCAATGCGAATCAGTCAGAATTTGAAGTCTCTTGTGAATACAAACCAGTTGCCTGAAGTATTTCTGCATTGAACTTTGTCCTCTAAAGGCTCAGATGCTGGACCTAAGCCAAATAAAGGGGCTGATTGACTCTGATCCCACTTTACAGAGGGACTGCACAGCAACTTCCATGGGTTAAAGGTGACTTCTTTAATATACACGTCCTGCTGTGTTATCGCCGCCTTCAATTTCTTTGTAAACCAGTTCACGTTTGGATGTCTATTAAAGGTCTTAAAATGTCCCAGATTGAATGTTTTTTTCTTTGAATCAGAACTGCTTGGAGCGTTATTCTTGCAAGTTAGGCAAATATGACCTAACAGAAGATCAACCCTTGGGGCTCTATTCTACATCCACGTGCCCTTGAAGCTTAATTGAAGAGTCTGTAGGAAACATTTACACAGTCAGAGAGAACTGCTCTAGTTAAAGATACAGGAATCTGTGGTTTATTGTTGCTTGGCTGACAGAAAGTCACATGTCTCCCGACTCATCTCTGCACTTCCTAGCAAATTCTGAAAGGTGGAGGTAATGTCATAGCCTGGGCTTGCAGGGTTACCTCTGCAGCTCACTCACTCATTTTTATTGATGGTATAATGCATGCATGGAAGTGTATAACATTGCTCATGTTATTACATACCATTCACGTGTGAAGCATATGAATGATAAGAACAATATAATATGCTGTCACACCATGTCTGGAGGAAACTGTGGCACTCCTTTTACTCATGCTAAAGCGTCTGACCCAAAAGTACATTTTTCTGTAGCTATATTTTTGTAGTCTTCTATTTTTCAATTGTTGAAAACCACAAATTTAACTGTATCACACATATGTTCCTCTGTATTACCGTTGCTTACATGTAGACATTATGATTTTCAACTTAATATTACAAAATATAATACAAAACAGTTTTCCTGTGGTGTCGATGAGGCTTATACTACTTGATGGCTTTTCCGTTTTTTTTTAACATAACCCTCCATGATATACCAGTAAGTGAACTGGGCATTTTTGTGATGTGTCATCCAGGCCCATTCTGAGCTGCCTTTGTAATTTTAATTAGCTTATCTAAAATGTAAATTTTGAGACAGACAGATAAAGGAGAAGGGAAAGGAGAAATGGCAGAGGTCTTAAGTATCATCAATCATGATCAACCTTAGAAGTATTTGGCAAGGTATGTGACATCTGAAAATAAAGAGAAACTGAAATTAGGTATAGGTTAATGCAGCATGCCAGCTCTGACTGACAAAACAATAACCTTGACATTTCCTTTTGAATGCTCACTGCTATAAAAAAAGAAAGCTGTTTTTGTAACTTTGAATACCGGTTTGTCCTTGAAAACCTTCAAAAGAAGGCTGCATTGCAGAGGTAGTAACTGCTGGATCTGGCCATGTTTCCATGGAAACTGATTAGATGTATGTAAATGTATAGCTTTTTTTAATTCCCAAAACAAGGGTTTAAGGGTTTTGTACATCCAAAGTGGCAAAAAAAAATCATAAAGCTGAATTGGTAATGCACCTTCTGTCAAGATTGTCTTCCCACATGGCACAGGGAACACCAGACCTGGTCTTTGACAAATGTCCTCTATATTCTTCACCATTGCCTTCAAAACACTCTAGAACACAAAATAAAGGGAAACTGGATCTCAAAACACAGTATACATGTGATTACTGCCACCAAAAACAAATATTTAAAAAAATTACATTTTTTTTTGCCAAACACAAACCCTTTGGGTTGGAACCTGAAACAAAACAATGAAACATTCTGTGAAGAATAAGATTTTGGGGCTGTGAATGTAATTCCCATATCAATCTATTCCTAAAATAAATAAGACTCTAAGCAAACTGACTGAAGTACACAGAAATAATGCTTGGTATGATAAAATTTCCTTGGGGGACTAAAGCTGGTTGGTATTTCCCAAAGAAGCTTCTGGAGCAGAGAGGAAATTCCAGCTTTCTAAATCCATGAAGATTTCAACTCCTTCAGCAGAACACGAATAAAATTATATTACTCCCCAAAACATCAAGGATGTTGCTGACATCTTAACTTAACGACTCTGCAGGAATAATTCTCAGATGAATACAGATTGAACCTGCAAAATAAAATTATAATTTTCCCTGCAATATTGAATAATATTTTCCTTAGAGAGGGAAAACAGAGTGAACACTGTTATATACTGATTACATATGTTTATGATAAGTAGCATGTTTTACAGACAACTACAAACACTTTATTATATGGTGGAGGAGTGTGGCAAACCCCTCAAAAAGTTGCTGTAAACAATTCTGACATCCGAGCTCCATTTCAAGAAAGTTCTGAAAACAGAACCAGCAAAAATCAGAACTCTAATTTATACATTTTAAGACCAATTCAATGGCTGAAATTGAACAACAAATTATCTTAGTTTTCATTCACTTTCATTGATTTTAATAAGCACCTAGCTTCATTTTTTTCTATGACACAAACAAAACCACACACAAAAATAGGGCGACAGGCTGCTTGTGTTTCACCACAATACTGAGTACAACTGCTCAAACATCCATAATTGCATACTGCTTTTCTTGAAGTAGACAAAATACAAAAACTCCCCTTATTTTATAGGTGTTGAAGAATACATTATAATATTTGTTCAAAGTTCAAAACACAATGCAGTTGTGGCCAGCAGTTATATCGCCCAGTGATTTCAGCTGACTTGCCATAACAGGTCATTTGGTGCCTAAATGGTTTTACATGTAGTAAATTAGTTAATCAATTTAGATAGTTTGTAAAGTGTGAGAGTCACATTCTCACATTGGTTTCATTTAGCCTATGTTAGGTATATAAAGGGACTCACAGTGACAGGTGGTGTTTCTTTGATTTTTAGTCATCAAAACAAATCCCAAGAGTGATCCTGGACAAATCCCCAAGTGTGACAGACCCACCTCTCCTCAGGCAGCTCATGAGTGTATAAACACAAGAAACACCCCCTCTAACAACCCAACACCAGGGATCACTGTGAATCTCTTTACAGAGCAAAGGGATCCCCCTACGTAAGACTCTCGACCCTTCATCATCTACCCAATTCTTCAACACGCCACACGTGAACCTATTTACAAAGCTAAGTGGCCCAAATACCAATAGTGGCAAGTCACTCAACTGTGTTACTGCTGGAAGCCAGAGGAGTCCTTCGTGACACTAGTCCCATTTCTGAAAACTTACTTTAAAAAAAATAAATAGAATTTGCTCTGTGGTCAATGACTATATTATGCTTAATGGTCAATGAAGATTTGTTTTGTTAGGAGTGAAAGATCTGTACCTTCTGTAGCAGGCGGCTCTGTATCACACCTGGGAATATTGGTACAAAAGGCAGTTCGCACTTTGGTGTCCACTGTGAAACACCACGGCAGCTCAGCCCCATCCGGATTCCTGCAGTAATTTTCTCTCAGATCTCTGGTATGAGAAACATACAGCACAAACTGTTAAGTCACAGAGATCATTACTTACTGAATGGCGGCCGACTATTTTCATTGAAAAAAAACACAAAGCTGTATTTTAATTAAACTAGGAATTAAGTACTGTACATGAAAATACTCTCTGAAAGTGTCTTGCATGTTTAATGGATTTGGTAATCTATATAGAGGTTAGGTCCCAATAAAGAAAATAAAGCAGTTTGTGATGACATTTAATTTCTTTAACCCATAAAGGCTTTCAAGGTTGGATAAAAAATAACATTCACTTTAGAAAAACGGGTTAGCATCACTGGTAACTCAACTCGATGAGATATCTTTGAAAAGGAGGGAATACGTAAGCAAGGAACTGTGTCCTTCAAACTTATATTTATACATTTCTGTTAACATGAATATCTAAACTCATACTACGCCACACTGTAATTGAATAATCTAAAAGCTGATCTAGGTCTGCGGTATTTTTCCTTTCAGGCTGAATTTGATTGAGTGAAGATTTTGTACTAGAATATGACAGTGAGTACTGAAAATAATAATTTAAAAATAACTCATTTTCAGCATGACACCATTAAAATAACGTCTAAACGTTTAGGCAGAAAACACTTGTTTTTACCACAGTTTTAAGTTATTTTTTAAATCAAATTCTAACTTGTGGCATATAGGATGTATCAGTTGCGATGCACTCACTGGCATTTGTAGTTCTCGGGAGTGTAAGAATGGTTGTGGGGAAACTGCGAGTCCCAGCGTTGGCACTGCACTCCATCCGGTGTAACGGCAACTGTCCCTCTATATTGTTCCCCCTGGCCTCTGAAACATTTTGTAGTCGTGTCTATATCAGTTTTGGCATTCACATCTAACAGGAAAAAAAAAAGAACAGTGCATTTAAACTGCTACTGCAACATACTGGCCAGAATGGAAACTAATATAACATATTCATGTTTCACTGCTATGCATTTCTCCTTACTAACTATTGCTCTTCCAGTTCTGATATCTTATAACACATATCATACCATGATATATCCAATAAGAACATACTGTAATCAAACCATCACCCTCTAAAATAAGATGTCACCTCTCACAGGACTCATCTATTAGGTATGAGCGACCTGGTTCACTATAAATTGTTTCAAGAACAAAAAGTGCCCACAGATCCAAACAAGACTTACAAATACTGTGTTCTTTAAAAGTAATGCACTGAAGAGACTGATAAAGTATTAAAAGGAGATTTAGATGAGAAAATCTACAAATTTGATCCTTGTGACTATGTTTACAGGGAAAAAAAAACATTTTGTAAATCTAAATTTCTTGCAGGCAAGGAGTTCATCATTCCATTAAAATGAAGAACCAAAACATTAAAGCATAATATGAATAATAATATTTTATAATAATTTATAGCGCTTTCTGGACACTCCACTCAAAGCTCTTTTCAGGTAATAGGGACTCTCCTCCACCACCACCACCAGTGTGCAGCCCCACCTGGATGATGCACCAGCAGCCAGAACGTGCCTTAACGCTCACCACTCACCAGCCATCAGTGGGGAGGAGAACAGAGTGATGAAGCCAGTTCATAGATGGGGATTATTAGGAAGCCACAACTGGTAGAGGCCAGAGGGAAATTTGGCCAGGACACTGGGATTACACCTCTAATCTTTTTGAGAAACACCCTGTGATTTTTAATGACCACAGAGAGGCAGGTCTTGAGTTTACTTTCTCATCTATTAGGACCCACACAGACCGCAGGGTGAGTTCTCACTACTGGTCCCAATAACACTTCTTCCAGCAGCAACCTCAGCTTTCCCAGGAGGTCTGCCAGCTATTTACTGGCCAGACTCACACCTGTTGAGCTCCAGTGGGTTACCATTTATAAGTTACAGGATGATATAGCTGTTGTCAATATATAATATAATATAATATAATATAATATAATATAATATAATATAACCTATTGCACCCTATATTCTATTTATACCAGCATTAAAAAGCAGCACTGTTTTAACCTCTCCCAGACATCTGAATCCCAACAATAACCTCAATCAGTTCAGTTAATTTCACTTATGTCTATCCATAATTATCCACATATAGTTGTCAGTTTATGTACAATACTTAAATTCCTTTTTGTTTCTGACCTGTCTAGCAATGGATTGTCTTCCCTTGTCATTCCATTGTCAAAACACGGGCATTTTTGTGATGCGTAAAATATACAAGGAGAAAACAACTGTGAATTTAATCTAAGTTCAAAAAACGAGAGCAAAGATAAAGCAACTACAATTAACAGTTCACTCAATCAAGTGCACTATTAACTGTGCATGTTTTTAATTTTGTAAAGGATTTGTTCATACACAGTTTCCTGTTCCAAATCATGTGGGTATTTTCACATCTCTGCGCACTGCAATGAATCCCACAACCTCACACAGAGAAGAAGGAGGTGTGTAGGAGGAATCCTGCGACTCGCCCACCTTTAAGCCATTCATCTTTTAACACATCCCAGGCAACACAGCCCCACACTGGAGGCTCAGGCGGGGAGGCCCCATGCGTCTTTTATGTATGAGAGCTGCATGAGGCGCGTTTCAGTGCCCTTAGTGCACGTAGAGATATGGCTTTAGACACCAACACTTCTATTAAACTATGAAGTTTAAACAAAAAGATTATTTGCCCTCGCAAAGTACAACACATCTTCATGTCCTCAATAAGATTGTGTTGTTTGATAAGGTCCACTAACTGTGTTGAAATTCAACGGTACTTAGGGCATAAAATAATAAAAGTAACTAATTAGTCTTTAACATTCAAGTGTTTGGTAAAAGCAGTTTTGTTCTACAAAGTATATATTATTTGGGAAAGACCGGTTTATCACACTTGGTTTGAGTTGAGTTTGTTCTTTATGGCATTGTAGTAACAGATCTTACAGCCTTTAACCTGCCTGAAATAAAACCATGCACAAACTGATGCTAATACAAGGTCTATAATTGCTTTAAAAACAGTTCCAAACCTATGAGCGTTTTGTCTTTGCAAAGCATCAAGAGTTAATTTGCACAGTTATATGCAAGAGAAGATTCCCCATTTTTAGTTCAGAATTTTAGAAAATCTGAATGTATTAACTTTTATTAAAAGTATGATATCATATAAAGTCACAAACACTGATTCTACAAACAACATTCCTCAGTGGTTTGCTAATAAAATACAGGAGTAATTGGAAGGTCTTCCAGGACAGGAAATGGAAGCAGTAAATTTAACACGGACTCACCACAGACTTTAATGTTGCAGTACTCCCAGGGGGTTTGGGGGTCCAGAGTGAAGCACCATGGACGAAGACGGTTGTCGGGATTGCGGCAATAATTATCATTGAGTCCCTTATCAGGATACCTGCAATGGTTTACAGTGTATTCCATTAATAAATAAATAAAAAAAAACTTAAAAATGAACAGCTTCTGTCAAAGCGGGAAAAGTGCTAAAATTGGTTTTAATCTGGAAATAAAGTCAATATTAACAGCTACAGAGAGAAGGCTATTTAGCGCATCCAACCCATTTGGTAGTTAGAAGTGAACTGATCTAAGGATCACAACCAGCTGTTGCTTGAAAGGATCCAGGCTATCAGACATTAACCACATGACTGGGTAACTTGTTCCATACTCCCACAACAATTGGGGTAGTGAAGTGTCTCCTGTACTTAGTTTTAAATGCACTGTCACTGTTTCCACCTGTGCATGTATGTTATGGACAAGCTTATCGAAACAGGCCAATGAGGAGAACAGACTGGAATCTACAGAAAGTCATGAGTAGAAAACATCAGCTTTTTGTTTTACATGCTTTGAAACAAGTAGCAATATTTTATCTTGCTGAATATTTTTTGAAATGTTAGAAAAATTCATTTTTCTAAAGTACTTTTGACAACTTTGTGTAAAATAAAAATGTTTTGCTCCAAGAGACAACAATCAGAAAACTATCTGAAGATGGAACAAATTCTTGAAATTTGCTTGAATTCTTTGCTCAATACAGGAAAATGTAAATCCATCTTAAAATGAGCTATCAGAAGAAAAAAATGAATTTATTTATTTATTAAAAAGTCTGTTTAATTTATTTAATGAGTCTGTTTCGAGTTAAGTCAGTAAACTAAGTAAGCTCAGTAAACAATATTATAATATAAGCTTACAACTGGGTTTCACAGAGAACCACTTTTAACCAAACTATTAAAGACCACTGTAATTTACTATGTAACCAAGCATCAGCATTCTTGGGGCAAAAGGAAAATAAAGTTGACAGTGTTGGATGTCAATTACAGGGAAGCATCTGAATCCCAGAGAAATCCCCTGCATTTCTAAATTAAAAAGCAAACACTGCATGGGGGCATATAACAATCAATTCACAGCACATGTAATATGTGACTGCAGTCGTGATGTTATGTAAACAAAAATCATTTTCAATTAAGTCAAAGACAAATCATTGCAAAGAGTTAAAAATGATTAAGTCCATCTACTAAGCATCATCAGGAGAGACAGATGATATTTTCTATTAATAAATAAGCCCAGAATCTGACTAAACCATTCACCTAAGCACTGATTATCCCAACAAATACTACTCGGGACTGAGAAGAAAAGAATCAGAAGCCTAGAAGAAACAGTATTAATACAGAAGCTGCATAAAGAGTGTACTCTAACCAAGCTGAGACCTGTGCACAAGTAGTACTTCAAAGCACACGCAGCTGACAATGATATTTTTTTGTACTTCTATTATGACGTAATTTAGGGCCTCCCGAGAGGCCTAACGAATACAAGTGCTCACACAAGCACTGGTTGTGCTCTATGATCAAGGATTCGAGCCTGGGTCATTACAGTGGAATTAGTAAGACAGGGTTCTCTTTCGAAATCTCAGTGACACAGCAACGTCATGGAACTCTGACAGCATACTCTTGGGAATTGTGCTGCTGATGCGTCATTACGTACATCTGTTAATGGCGTCAATAAACTACTCAAACTATTACTGTATGTACCCCAAAGTGGCCTATTGAGTTTTGTACTGTTTGTTATACTGCAATACCAGGCATGGTGATATACAGAACCTGCTTCCTAACTGGGCAGTGCATGAATACATCAACAAGAAGGCATCAACCTTCTGTCATCTTCAGAGCAACAGACTGCAGTCTTCATATACAGTATATGACTTTCTTGTGCTGCAACTCCATACTGAACATTATCTTTAAATATTTCTCCAATAAAACACTTATCTTTAAAATTGGAAAAGTGGAAAAAGCTGCACAGGACCTGTGAATAAAGTTTAAATACTTTGAAGAGATTAGAGTATGGAACCACGTTACCAGGGTACAGTATCTGCAACTGAACATGAAGAGGTTAGTTAGTTCCTCACTGAACACTGAAAAGAAAAAGGTTAAAAAGGGATAGAAGGTGGACAACTAAAAAAATTAGGCAGAAATGGACAGATCACAGGACAAGGTCTGAAAATGTTCATATGCTCAGCTTAGCAAGGACTAGTTGAATTAGATCACTGATAACCCATGTACAGTAGGACAAAATCAGAATACCTTACATTGCTAATGGACTGGAATTTGACACTCCTTCATTAAGGAATTTGGAAGTCCGGTACCCATGTATTAATAACGTCAACCTTCACAGTTTTTCTTACCTTTTTGGATGGAATGTGTGTTTGTGAGGCCTTGTCAAATCCCAGCGCTGACATTCTTTCCCAGTTTCTGTGTGATCCATAGGACCCCTGTAATTTTCTCCATTGCATGTCATACACTCAACTGGAAATAAAGGATAATGGTGAAAATAAAGTTAAATAAAAGACAAAATACTAAAATATGCATACTCTACTTACATACTCTATTTAAAAATAATTATTCTTTAATGTCAGGACTTCACATCTACAGTTCTGTCTCATGCCCTATATACTGTACTTTAATCATGACCACAATCTTGACCACTTTTACCACATTATCTTAAACTATGTTCAGACAGCAGCATACAGTAGATATTATTTTAGTATTATAGTATTTTAATCAAATCCAGACTAAAAGTTAGAGTAGATGATTGTCATGTGAAAGTATTTCATGCATTATACAAATACAATTGAGTGGATTTAGAATACTACTGTATGCACATTAATTCCAGGCATACATTATATTTCTATACAAACCACAACGGAAATTAACTTTATGATACACTATGTGACAGTAACAGGAGGTTACTCATGTTTACAAGTAAATGAAAAAAAGTTTTGGAATTGACTAAGACATTTTTAATTCATCACAAAATAGAGAAGATACCACAAATGATACTACTGTTTCTAATTGCTGACAGTTTTCTAAAAGACATGTTCCTAAAAAATGTACAGTAACTGTACACCAGGCTCTTTTCTGTATAGCTTTCCATTTTACAACCAAACCTGACCTCTAGAATAATAGAATAATGCAAACCCCCAAAAAATTGAAAACAGATGTTTATAAAGCCAACTATTCTCATGATTTACTTCAGCTTATGTTTCTGATTAAGACAATTTATGATCACACTTGCCAAGTGAAGTTAGTTTTTTTTTTTTTAAGGGAAAGCTGAATGAGAAAAGTCAAGGCACTTTGATGTCCTCGCTATTTTCATGTATTGTTCAGTGCCTTATTGTTTTTTCATCTTAGGCCAGATTCTTTTTTTTTATATTTCTTATGTGCAGAGCTATGTAGCTCAAGACGGCAAATCTTTAATACACTTCCATCACACACCTGTTTAGTACACTCTGTATGGCTTCATGAAAATATGTTATTTGTTTTCAGGGGGTTGCAATATTAACCCGTTTGTCCACTGAGGCGCTTTTGTGTCTGTTATGTGTGAATCAAATTAAAAAAAAACTACCTTCTGAACACTGCGGGATTTCACAAGACTGATGGCGGATATCGGGGTCTGTGGTATAACACCATGGTCCTGACGTCTCATTATTTGGATTCCTGCAGTAATTCTCCTTTAGGTCCTTTCTCTTGAATCTCGAAGGCAAAAAGCTAGTTTTAAAATGACAATCAGTTTAGTGTAAGACCATGCATGCCAGTCAGCACCTGTGAACTCTCTCACACTGCTGTGAGCTTCTACCCCCAGCTCAGACTGCACTGTTCAATGGCATTCTTTCTCTACTATTATCAAGGTTTCCTGATGTATACACCCTTTACTGTTCAATGGACATTGTTTGAATTGCACAGACATTGCTCTTTCAAAAATGTTCACGACCCAGTTTTTTTTTTTTGTCCTTGACATTTTCATGTATTTAACTGTACTTGAGTGGTTTCCTTTTTGCATTTTTATGTATTATTGTAAATTTTGTAATATAATAATAATAATCCAAACACTTAAATGTTCACTTCCTGTTACAAAACTGTGTTTCCAAAACCGGAGTTTTCATTAGCCTAGTCGCAATGTTGAGAGAACAAAGCGTTTACAAGTTATTTGCATAAACCTCTTTGTGCCTTTGTTGTGAGTTAACTGCCATTATTCCTGTTCCACTTCATAGTTTTGTGAACACTCCATTCGGGTTTTTCAGGTTTTTCACCATCTCTGCTAACCAAAGCCAGAAACAGAGCTGCAGCCCCTGAGCATACTTCAGTTTATATCTTTTACTTCATACAAAATTAGGTTGAAAATCAAAACAAACATGGAAGATGAACAATTGAAAAGGTTTTCTCTTAAAATTGACACACTGAAGCTCTTTCCTTTACAGAAGAAAACGGTGCTGTAGTTTGCTGGTGTATACACATAACAGCCATTAAAACACTGTTTTTATTTTTAATAGAGAACAATAATAAAGAAACTTCCTCTTAGTATTAATCTGGTAAACTCTGGAAAACACCCCCCCTAGCATGCCTTCCCCAGCTTTTTGATGAAGTCATGTTAATATTATTAAGTCCTAACAGATGTTTGTAACAACATCTTGTTTCAGCTGAACCTACTATATGGACTGAAGACGTCTGTAATTTTACAACAGATCCATTCACATTTTTTAAACTATTTTTGTTTGTGTGGTGGAACTAGGAAAAGGAGACACCCCATTTCATTTTTTAGCATAGACAATTTACTCACTAAATGTTTACTTTGTGCTTTTTTGGCATTGTGCATGTATTTAAAAAAACTGTCAAACAAATGCTTAATGTCAAGCAAAAACAAACACTCACGATGACTGTTATACGTTAACTTTAAGACCAAAGATATAACCTGTCAAGAACAAAAGCATTCCCAGAAACCTGACAAATAAAAGATCGCTAACCTCAACCCACACACTTATAAACCATGAGAGTTTTATAGACTGTTCTCCATCCAAACTACTCCTAAACTATGTAGCCCCTTCCCTAACTACCTGCTGGCATATCAAAGTAACACTTTGTGAGCTAACCTACTGTACTTGCCTAGGAACTTAAAAATTTCACATTTCTGAAATAGTGTGCAAAGAGACAATGTCTGAAAAATGTACACATTGTCCATAATGAAAATCTGAAGTCAACATTTTCACTACCAAAAGGCTGGTACAAAGAATGGTTTATCTAGAGCAAATTCATTTTCTTTATTCAAATGATTTTGCCGTTTTAAAACGGGACTACACAGAGGAAGAACACAAACATGACTTGTTTTTAACAAGGTCCTAAATCACTTCAAAGAGGAGGACAAGTTCAGGGAAACCGACAAGGTACTCACAGGGAGGAAATAAGAATAATGTTTTAAGCAATCTGAAGACTTGTTAGTTAAACTAACAGGCACCCATGATACAGACATTCACTGCAAAAACATTTTATCTTGGTGAGTAATTAGTAAGTGTATTTTTTTACTTGCTTATGCTACATGTCTGCTCTGGTCTAGATTTCTGAAGGTGAACACATAGTAAAATCTTCAGGTGCAACAAAACATAAACACAAACACATATTCTTCCCTTACTTGTGATCATGTGGCACAGATGAAGCCCAGGCTTGACACTTCAGGCCAGTTTTTGTAACAGATTTAATTCCTTTATAACTTGATCCTTCACCAATGATACATTCTCTTGTATAATCTATAAGTAAGTGATTACAGAAAGCTGTTCAGCACCAAGCACAGTAAATTGCAGATAGACACACAAAATGTGGAACACATCTTTAAAAAAAAAACAATGAACAAATTACATTAAGACTGATTTTTAAACTCTGTTAATGCTTAAATATGTAGATCATCAATCAGTTGTAAATCTATCAAGCTGCTAAAGGATTCCATTGGGATTCTTACATCTTGTGTTTAGGCCAGAGTTGGCCAATCAGTGCAGCAGTATACTTAGTCAAAGATTATTAATAATAGTTCAACCGTACTAAAAACAGAAATACAGTTTTTTTTTAAATCAGACTGTTATCATTTGACTAATTAGGAAGGAGAAAACAACTGTAAGAAAACATAATAGGTTCAGCCAAGGTTCAGCATAAGACAGATTTACCTTTTTTCTCGTAAAGATCAAAGCTAAAATCTTGCTCTTTTTTAACACCTGGAGTATTGCTGTCAAATGACAGCCAATGGCATTTCCTTGTTTTCTGGTCAAAGTGGAAAGCCCTGTAAAGGCACAAATAACACACAGATGCAGGTACTGTACTGTACATGTGACTTTCAATATAATATAAATCAGCACAAGGTCATCCTTAACTCTATCTGCCAGCATGGGTGGAGATACAAACTATTACGAAGAGGGGTCTGTTTTACAGCTAAACTAACGCATTTTAAAGTAAACATGAGAGTTTCCTTAACAGGGTAAGGAAAATCTGATCCAGACCTCTGAATCTTACAGCCAGAAATTCCCGACAACCAACAAAAGACAGAACAAAGCCCTAACACTGCTTGGAAAAAGACAACAAGTCATGCATTTGACTGCACATAAAGTAATCCTAATAAAGAGACTGAAACAATTTCACATTGGAAAGTAAATATATCAAGCTAACACACAAGCAAAACAAGATTGCTGTAATACACATGCACATAATTATCGGATTGTTATTAAATTTTAGAAACTCTGCATGTATCGTCTGCAAAACTGGGAAAAATAAAAGACACAACAAGAGAATTATTATCCTTTAGTGGATCTTACCTGCAAATAAAAGATAATCCCTTATTTCTACTGCATCTTCTGGCACACTTCACTTCGCTAAGAGATTTACTTTTGGTCAGGAGGGAACTGTCAGTTTTGAACAAGTGGATTCCATCACTCTTCCGATAGTCATGAAGACTGTTTCTCCTTGGATGCTTGCTTTCTGTAAAATGTTCAGGTCTTACTCAGTGAGCATCGTATGGGACACACAAACTATGTCTCATACTATATACAGGATACACTACTGGGCAAATGGGTTTTACATTGGTCTTTTCACTGACCGTTTCAATCTTATTTTATGCAGAAACAGTTCTGTGGTAATCTTCTACTGAACTTTAGTAAATTGAACTTAATCGTGAATGATCTGTAAAAGTAGCCTTGTAGCTTTAAGGGTGTAGAGAGAGAGGACAAATGTAAAAAATGAGGAAATTAATTACTCAGATTTGACTGGTAAATGTATGGTATGAGGTACTACTACACTTCATTTTGGCTGCTTATGTATAGTTTTCTTGGTTGTTGTGGTCAAGCTGAAGATTTTGATCACAAAAACCCAAGGTATCTATGAATATTTTTAAAGAGTTATTAAATTGTAGTAGTGCAGGCTTAAGTCAAATATTGATGCTCATAACATATAGTGCTAGTCCTGATTGTGCCTAAGTAATCAAAAACCTTTATATATTTGGGTATGTTATCTGTAGTGGACATGGCACAACATATTGACATATTGTCTATATTCCAATATAATAAGTCAAACCTGTTAGCCTTGGCTGAGGCTTAAATGTAAAAATCACAAGTTCATTTTATTCTAAAGAATATATTTGTGCTAATGCATTATACTTCTTTTGACAGTTTCTGCAAACATAATACTATTCTACAAAACCTAAATACACCTTTTAAAGGAAACAGAATGGAAAAGATACTTTAGCATATCACAGAACACTTCTCAGAACAGCTAGTGAGCTACTTGAAATGCAACAACATAAGACAAGCAGGGACGTCTGAGGTGTATTTAATTAGAAATGCAATTAACTGCATCCATCAATGCATTAGTATTCATGAGTGATTCACCCAAAACAGTACATTGAGGCAAAAGTTCCACTGGGGTTCTGACCTCATTCCTATAGACATCTTAAAGGCAACAAGGTAGAACATTTCATTTTCCAGCAACACAGTGAGTCAGCAACTGCAGAGGGATTAGAACCCAGGACCTATTGACTCATACAGCACTTTTATCTTCTGCTCTAATCTCCAAGCAGAGATTTACAAAGCTCTGAGGAAGACTTTTGTCAGCATCAGCAGGACTTTTTAATCCATATAACAGTGCAATCAATTTAGAAATCTCATGTTTTCAAAACTGAACATCTGCTTCACTCCTGCTTTTTTTGCTTAAAGTTGTCACTGTAACACATCCAAAAATTCAAAACTACTTTCTGTGAGGCTTCACAGACTCTCCTCTGTATTTTATTATCCAGCCTTTTTTAATTACAGGGATGATCACACATTTTTTATTGTCCTATTATTATATTGCTTGGGAAGGCAATGTTCTACTTCCTCAATCTTACTTATATTGCCCATTCACATTATTCCTCTAAATCAAGGGTAAACTGGCTTACATCTGGCAGTATTCATTGCAAGTTTTCCTATTTTTGTCCAGATTAAGCTTCCTTTCTTGAGTAAAATCACTTCTTTATGCAACCATTACTATGCTTGGGTCTAATTTTAATTTATGCACCAAATTTATGGTAAAAAGCACTAAACTTGCCAACATGACTGGTTTGAACTGCTCCAAAATTCAAATAAATACGATTAAATTACAACTCTATAACACTCTATGTGCATTAACTCCGTATATTAAAGAAGGCAGCATTGAAAATGTCTTCACAAACCAGACTGCACTAAGCCTGGTGGTTAAACTAGCATAACCCTAGGAAATTTCTATTGAAGTCTTACTTGGTCATTCAGCTACCGCTAAATTGTGTCTTCAAGTCACAGCGACCCCTAGTGGCCAGACCTACTACATATTTTACTGAAATGTCAGGTTGAATTCGGCTCTATAAATTGTTTAGGTGGGTAGCGCGTCAGCATGCGTAGGCTGCAAAGGAACAAGTAATACTGTAGGTTTATTCCATGTTGAAAAGTGATGGTTCTTCTTGCTGACACCCAAAGCCTCCACAGCCGAAACGTTGCGTTTTCTTTCTCTTTTCAGCATGGAATAAACCTATTACTTGTTCCTCTATAAATTGTGATATCACATCTTGAGACCTTGCAACGTCGACACAGCATAGGTTCAGTGATTGACAATGGCCTTGTGAACAAGCAACAAGACCAGTCATCTTTATCATCGCACATGCAGAAAATACACTTTGTCCTCTAATATTGCTTTTAACTGAATTTATCATGCTTTCCTTTTTTTTTCTACTTACAAATACCTGTGACTTTAATATGCATATAATATTGGTTGAGACACTTTATAATTATTTTAAAGTAAACAAAACAACACAATGATACATTGAATCATTTAATACAAGCATTGGAAGCACTTTTGTAAGTAACCTAGTAAAATTATTTTTTGTATTAACATAAACGTATGTACACAAGCCAAAAAATATTAGAATTCAATCCATTATAGTTTTTTGTATTTTTGTTTACAAGGTTGCAGTTCTTAACAACAGTATGGCTTATTGATACGCATATAATACGGGATTCATTTCAAACACATCAACGTACATCTGTTCGGTTCTCATGAGCAATACTGAGTCTATGTTTACACAATTCCATCTGAGTCCCCTTACGTTTCTACAGAAGTTTATTGGATCCTAACTTCAAAAACGGTTTCATCTTAAGACTTAAAACCCAAGGGGAGGACAGGGTCAGAAACAGGAATTTACACTTTAATTGATAAAGAAATGTTAAAGGAATGTTTCAGCCTCTTCAAGGACTATCGTTATTTTGCTGTACCATTAGCACTATACACATTTATTGAAAAAATCTGTATCATGATAAGGAACTACACCACTTGTGAAGTCTATATTTGCTGTCACAATGTTCCAAAGAATTATACCATTCTACAAGCAAATGTAAAAACAACGAATATTTTGGACATTTCGTCAGGTAATCTAAAATAAAAAATATTTTCTATTTAGAGAACTGCAACTTTTCTACGTTAGGATGTAAAACACCTGAATCTAGTTAAGAGCAGTTAACTCGTGAATCGCGAGGGAATTTTGTATTTAAGATACTCAACCTTGATAGTGAATTGCGCAATAACTTCTTGGCTAACCAATAAAATGCAATGGTTAAAATTCCTTAAGTTTATATTTCCTCATCAAAGGCGTTGGGATACATTGTTTCGGAGACTGTATTTTTCACTAGAAATATCTCATCACACACGAGCAGTTTAGCATTATTTTTAGTGACTGCCGTTAAGGTACAGTACATCATACAACAATTAATGTATGCAATGAATTAGTTTCCGGTCTTGCAATTAGTTTGTTAGTCCAGTAAAGGCATCTGTATTCAAACAGTCTTAAACTCTAACAAAGTTGAGCTGGCGTTTTGTCCCCCCAGTGACGGTACATCAAACACCACTTCTTCTGCAAACTTACCTGAGTAAACTACGAGCACCGCGCAGATCAGAACCCACTGTGCCCACATGATTCTCGCAGTATCTGTTACCGGGAGAGTAATTCCGCGGTTTACTAATGACTGAGGTTGCAGCAGCGTGCTGCCTGTTTTTATTGTCTGATCTCACAATCAGCCTGTATGATTAACAGGAAAATCCTTACCAAGGCAAAGATACCCTCTTACTGGAAGGGATCCGTCCTCTGTTCAACCCCCATCATGACAGTATCACACCGTTACCCCTCCCCCTCTGTGAGAAACATTTAAAGGGAACTCTACCCCAAGAATTCTTCCAACGCCAAACCTTAAATTTACCACTGTGTCCGTCCGTGGTAACGTTGTGTGATACACTGCAACAGATGTATTATGCCTAAATATAAGTACGCTAATTAATGCACATTTCTACAGTATTCCTCGGTTAAGATACCAGTTTATGCAAATATGTAATATCCATTTGAAAATAAAATAAAGTGGTTGCGTTTTTTACCTCATCTTTTTTTTTTTCTCCAGGAAATCTTTGCTCCTTGTGTTGGAATCCACTTTCGTCAGTCAGATGGCCGAATGCATCTTTCAGATCGTTCTCAAACGGGGCTGTACAATACGTCGACAAGTTTTAAAGGCAACGACAGAGGAGTGGATTATATGTGAGTGAAGGTGGTAAATCATGATTTTGCATTTGTAATTCCCCTTCAGGAGAATAGGTACAAAGTATGTGAAAGGAAAGGTATTTTTTGAAAGTTTAAGAGATGCGCAGCTCAACATTTACTCAAGACAAAACCAGCAGTAATCTGGGTTGACTAATGGTACATTTCTAAAAGTAGTATGAATTCGAGTTATGTCAAATATTATAGGTACAATGATAGAGCATATTGGTAAATACACAGTGCATCACAGTGACACAGTGATTAGCTCACATCTCTTGATTCCTACATCAAATTCAGGGCTTGTGTATGGAATTTGTAAAGTTCTCACGATGTCTAAGTGGGTGTTCTTTTTTGATGTGGTTTCTCCACCAAAACCCAAAGACACACTGTCCAGCATGGCACCTCTAAATTTGACCCCCTTCACTATATGTGTTCTCTGTGACAGACTGGCATACTGTCCATGGTACAGTCTTACCTTGTGCCCAGTGCTTCTATGTTAAAGTAGCAGATGAAGTTTAACAAAAAGTTTTAGATAGTAAAAAAGAAAAAAAAGATGTAGATAGATTTAGAGACTGGGCAAATATCTGACAGATAATATGCACGTTTTACTGCAGATAGTAAAAATGCAAAAAGTATAGATACAAATTGGGAAATGCTGAGTTAGAAATTTGTCGAAAATGCGGGGAAGCAACAGAAAAGGAAAGGAAAATCTTAGGCTATATATACAAAAAATCTTAATTTCAGCCAAGGTCATTATTTTAAAATGGTATAATGCACTATTAAGTCCTCATTTAGCCTATTGTGTACAATTTTGGTCACTGCTTTATGGAAAAGATATCGGTGCTCTGGAATCAGAGCAAAGAAGAATAAGCAGATGCAATCTGGAGCTTAAGGGAATGTTCTGACAGAAAGTTTGAAGGAAATTAACTTTGTGGTCTTGAACCGAAAAGACTACAAGAGGAAGCACAATGCTGACAAGAGTTTTATTTATTACAAAGTAATCAGGACTGGTTTAGATTAATGGCACATCATTGGATTCAATAACATGCCTCACGTCAAATCTGAAATTATTATTATTGTAATTTTTAGTGTCTTTTCAAGCGCCTTGCCTATTTTTTAATCTTATGGTACTGGAGGAGTTCTGATTGAGTGATGTGGTTGACTCTTGTTTTGTATCATGGTATTGTACTGTTGTTGTATTGTATTATTGTTGTATATGTTATATGTTTATATGCTCTTGATGTACAAAACAAATTATTTTATGGGAAATAAAAGTTAATTAACTCAATTCACTTCTTTACCAAAGAATTGTGAAACTATGGAACAAGCTACACAGCCATGTTGTTGAAGCTTATATCCTGGCTTCTTTCAAAAAACAAAGAATTTTAAAATGAAGGATTAAATCCCTGGATAAATTAACTACTAACTACTAAATGGAACAGATGGGCCTAATAGCCTTATTTGACTTGTAAACTTTCTTATGTTCTTATGACTTGATGTTTATATAATGTTAGTCAGTGATACAGTACTTAACACTTAATATAAATCTAGCTTTTTCACCAAAGACAACATAAAGTTATTATGCGTTATAAAGAGTACAGTACACTATACAAATTTTGAACAGTATTTATTTAAGAAGTCTTATAGTATCAGAATTGCTGGCAAAATGTATATTGCTATATCTAAAAACCACACATTCATATAGGCTTAAAGATTAGTAAAACTATTCTTGTTGTGGTTTTTGGGTTGATACCAAGAGGTATTATGTGACAATTCAGTGTTTTTCCCCTCTCAATATGATTTCATTTAGTGTGGTAGTTGAATGAAACAAGAAATCACAGAATTCGTGCTAAATGTGTTGGATTCAATCCAATTTAGGTACAAGCCTGTGGCCTTTGTTTTACTAAGTGTTCTTGAGGTTACACAAGGACCCCTGGGACAGTGAATTGGATGATTATTTTGCAGGAATCTACACACACTTTTGCTATTAGGAAGATTTATAAATGTTCCCTTGGGCAGCTGAGAAACCATAGGCTGAGATAAATCCCAGACACTTGATTTAGTTTAGTATCTTCAGTCACAAGCAGGCTTCCAAGTCTGTAAGTTCACAGAGAAGGAGGAAATGTTTTTGTAGGAGTGAAACTGAGTGCTCAGTGGAGCTGCTCTTTTTATGAATATTATATATATATTTACAGTATGAGGACTACAAGCACCTCTGGGTCTTGTTGAAGAATGATAGTCTTTGATTAGTCTTTTTTAGACTAGTGATGCATTAGCAGAATTCTGGGTGTGCAGTTTCATGGCATTCCAGTGAAAGCTGAATTTTGGGTGAAATTCTCATTTTACAGGTTTGTCTACATTCCTTTTCCCACCTAGGGTCATGAACTTGGGGTAATAACCAAAAGGACAAGATCCCTGGATACTAATGGAAGGAATGACATTCCTTCATAAAGTAACTGGGCTTACTTTCCACGCCAGGATGAGGAGATTATCCGCAAGAGAAATCTTCAGAGTAGAGTAACAACTTCCCTGGGTAGAGGGGAACCAGCTGAGGTGGTTTGGACCAAGAGTGGGGTTTGCTGTTTTATATCATGCGTAGTGGAGGCTTTGAGGCTGTTCTGGTGAAAGTCACCCATGACGCGGAAATACGGAAAAATTATATCTTTTATTTACTGCAGCTGTTGTAGAGGCTGCTCAGCTGGATTTCATCCCACAAGCTTTACTCTGCGATTATCAAACCTGGTAACTGTCCAACTCTGAATTACAGAAGAAAGAAGGATACACAGCTACAGTTGTATTCTACGTTTTGTGAATGGGCCAGATAAACTCAGCGAAAGGAAACAATTGACAACAGTGTATCAAACTGTTGGTAATGTATGGCATTACACTGTTGCCATGTACTGTACAGTATATACTCTGTGCTCTCTACAGCCTTCTGCAGTAACTCTTTGCCTCTTTCAGAGTTTCCTATTGCTGTAAAAGATTGTTTATTAACAAGCAAACACTCCTGTCTTTTACTCAGCAACCAATGCAAAGACAAAAAGATAAAACATTTTCTTCAATAACATGACTATTACATTTCCTCTACACACCCATAACCACTTCAGCTCTAGCTTCCGAATTCTCTCTGCATTGTAACCCCTCCTTTGTTCATTTCCTCTCAGACGGCCTCCTCTTCAGATTGCCTCCCTTCCCTCATCCCCAGCCTTTTGGAATAACCTCCAGTCGGTGCTCTGCGACCCTGACACTGTAGACATAAAATGAGGCTGCAGTATGCGTGAAGAAGTGCGGAATTTACAACAAAGGATGTTCTGTTAAAATCTGTGACTTGACCACCAACAAGGGTGGCCAATCAGATAATGGAATGCCAAGGACAAAGTTAAACTAGTGTAAAACTTTTTTAACCAAAACAATACAGTGCAGCAGGGTGATTCAAATGATACATCAAACAAGAAAAACAAAAAATACTCTCTCTCTCCTACAACTTAGAAAAGAGTAAATACTCGAAGCCCCAACCCAGGTCCTACTTGACTGACAGGTGAAAACCATTTAAGAGTAATAATAATGTTGCTTTATTAGCCCTATACAATTTCTTGCATTAGGAATTCATCTTTTCACAGACCCCAGCTCACTCTCCATGAGACACACAGACAGGGAGAGAAGCTTGGGGTCAGAGCGCAGGGTCGGCCATTGTACAGCACCCCTGGGGCAGTTGGGGTTAAGGGCCTTGCTTAGGGGCCCACCAGAGTAGGATTCCTGCTAACTGCGGGATTTGAACCAGCAACCTTCTAGCCACAGGCACAGATCCTTAGCCACAGAGCCACCGCCCCACCTTAAAATGCCTTAAAATGTTTGCTCCTGGAGCTAACAATGGAATTATTGGTCGTCTGAATGCATTTACATGGGCTCAGATCTTAAGTAAGGCTGCAGGTTCTGTAACCTGTCCCAAAGAATCAGTGTCGTGGCAAGCTAGCTGAGCTCCAGGCTCTGTGTCTCTGAGCTGAATCGGGAACCTTGAATTAAGCAAGGGTTAATAAGGCAAATGAGAGAATATGTTCAGGTTAAGTGGACTATAGAAGTAAACAGGTATAGTTCTAATAAGGACTATAGAAGTAAACAGGTAACCAAAAATGATTTTTAGCAGTGGGCAGGGTGGATAGAAAAGTGGTCTGAAGACAGCACTTAAAAGAAAGTTAAATGGTTTGCCCAGCGGAGAATAACTGTCTCGCTGGAGGCAGCAGAGGGAGCTGTTGAGCGGATACTGATTAGGTGGTCTCAAGAGGTCGAGCTTATATACTAGAGAGGAAAAGAGTTTAGCATAAAAAAGCTGCAGGTGAAAAGAAAAATGCCTGCTCTTTCAGAGTTGGAGAAGTTACAGTAGATGAGCAAAGAGAAAGCCTTAAAATGTGTGCTCCTGGAGCTAACAATGGAATTATTGGTCGTCTGATTGAAAAAATGATGGCGGGCTGGAAATGCATCCTGAGTGCATTTACATGGGTTCAGATCTTAAGTGAGATCTCATGCGAATGCGCTGGTTG